GAGGAGGCACTTGGGTGTCTGGGGCATGCTGACTGCACCCTGGCCGCGGTTACACTGGTGACTGGACGAGGAGGGACAACGCAGCCGGCGCCCTGCCATCTATCCTTTCCCTTATCGATCAACCCCCTCCAGCCGATAATATGCGGATTAACGGAGGTGGGAAGTCCTCGGGACGGAATTCGTACATGGACGGATGGAGGTGGAAAGAAGAAAAAGGTGGAAAGTAGCCGAGGATGGGCGGACAGTCAGACAACCCTGACAAACAAACGAAACGACCAACAGGACATTACACCATCAAAAAACATTTAAACATATCGTTAACGACATGACAGTGCAAAAATATACGCCATGAACCGTATATGGGCCTATTTAAACGGTTTTTAAACATTGACGTCATACTGCTGATGAAGTTCAAACGTCATATACCGCATGAATGAACATGACCCTTTTAAATGGTCTTTAGACAAAGACGTAACATTATTCATGAAGTTCGCACATGAACCCTATGAAAAAGAGCCTACTGAAAGGTCTTTTAAGCAGTGACGTCATAAACGTTATGACGTATGTAAATCATGCCTGTTCTAAAATTTACACCTAAAACTACATAAACTTGTCCTTATTTGTACGGTCCTTAAACGATGAAGTCATATTGTTGTTTACACGTCATGAGCCTTTTGATCTGTCTTTAGACGATGACGTAACATTATTGATGAATATTTGAAGATGGTGAGATGCGGTTTGGAGTGACTAGGTTTAGAAAAACAATTAATTAAGGTTTTTAGTTGAGATAAAAAAGTCAATGGCAAGAGCGGGATTCGAACCCACGATTTCCCTTTGATACGCCGCTGCTCTACCACTTGAGCTATCGTGACCTCGATCCACTCCGACACCAACTTCCCATCTCAACCGCACCTCGTGAATTTTCCCTCCTTTTTGCCATTTTTATCTCAACTAAAAACCTTAATTAATTGTAATACATTAATTGGTCAAACAGACCACGAAATTAGTGAATTTAATGAGTTTAGAAAAACATTTTCTTTATCGTGACAATGTGTCATCGTTTTGATCTTTATTGAGATCATCTTCAGGGCCTGGGATTTATAAAGATTGTTTGAATTATACAATACATGTAACATGGGAAAATGAATTTATACATTGATGTACACAATACGGAAATTTTAGGTTTAATCGAACTATTTGTACCCACTCAAACTGTTTGTTTTCTGGGTGGATGTAACATTATTGTGTATCGTGTTGAAAGTACGTTTCTAAACCTACGTCACACCAGATCGTATCTCACGATCTCCAAATAATCATTAACTAACGGTCACTTAACAGCACACATTATTGATGAAGTTCGCACATGAGCCGTCTGAAAATGAGCCTACTGAAAGGTCTTTTGTCCTTAAACGATGATGTCATATTGTTTACACGTCATGAGCCTTTTGAACGGTCTTTAAATAGTCCTCTTCCTGATGAAACTTACGCATGTACCGCATGAATATATGAACATTAGCCTAATTGAAAGGTCTGTGAAAGATGATGAAGTAATGAAATGTACATGTCATGACAATTCAAAAATCTATATGTATAAAACAATTCCGTGACTGACTGACAGATAATGCACAGACCAAACCGCTGGATCTGGAGGGCTGAAATTTCGACAATGCATTCCTATAATTGACATGGATAGCCGCTAAGAAAGGATTTTTTGCGTAAAGCCCAAAAGAGATCGAGAAGCGACGAATCAACATGCCTAAATAAAATTTTTGGATTTCTAAAAATATTTACACACAAACATACTCAAAGAAATATTTTTAAAAAACATATGTGTATTTAAAATAAAATTAATTAATTAATTTAAAAAATACATAAATAAATAAACAAGTGAATAAAAATAGATAGGTAAAGGAATAAAGCAAAATAAAATGAAACAAATAAACAAATAAAAATTATCCTGCATTAATAATAAAATAAAATTAAAAGAAAACAATAAATAAAACAGGCAAAGAAATAAATTATGTACTGAATCAAGGTGAAATAGGCCCAAGACGGCTCACTACCTTTTAAATTACATTTAAAAAATAATAATAATAGTAAAAATAATAAAAAAAATTTAAAAAAAGATTTTTTGAAATTCCATCCCGAAGAGAAATATATGGACAATTTTTTACCATGTATAGACCGAAGAGCCGCGGTTATTTATCGAATCAAATATGCAAATTTAAACTTCCATCAATATGTAAAAACTTTACGGCAGAATTATTAACAATAAAAAAGCACTCAAATCATCCTTACAGGCAAAACAAAAATGATAGTTATTTGCAGCAATTCCTTGTCTGCATTACTGGCCATAAAACATATCTTCACTGAAAACTCACTTATCTAGAATATCCTCACAAATCCAAAAATTGGAATATCAAAATAGCCCATCCTTATACGTATTCAAAGCAATGCTCAAGCTGACATTCAAACAAAAAAAGCAACACAAGTAATTCCAGTGAGAGCAACCCACGTGGGGATTTAGAATCACGCCTAAAACATAAACTATGGACAGATTGGGAACAAGCATGGCACATCATAGACAATAAAATACGAAACATCAAAGATCCTGTCAGGTCGTCCTTCCGACAAAGTAGGCAAGAAGTTACTCTGACCAGGCTACAGATCGGACACACCAGATACACACATGACCACCTCATGAAGAGAGAAACACCTCCACAATGTAACAGCATCTTTTCTGTAGAACATAGATTAACTGAATGTCAACTTTAAAAAAAAGCCAGAGTATTCAACCTCCCAAAAAGGCCTAAAAGAAATCCTAAGCGAGTCAACAAGCCTAAATAAATTGTTTGCATTTCTAAAAAACATAAACTCAAAGAAATATAAACAACAAAAAAACAGCAAAATAAAAGCAAAACATATTGATATATGTGTATTGTATACTAAATAATATTAATTAATTAAAATAAATTAAATTAAATATAAATAATTAACAAGTGAATAAAAAAAGATAGGTGAAACCATAAAGCAAAATAAAATTATCATACCTTAATAAAAATAAAATAAAATAAAAAATAAATATAAATAAATAAATAAAACATACAAAGTATAAATGACGTATTGAATCAAAGTGAAATAGCCCCAAGACGGCTCGCTACGTTTTATGTTTAAAAAATTGATACATAAGCCTATGTGAACGATCTATAAACAGTGACGTCATATTTCTGACAAAGCACGCCGGTATGGGGTCTCCCTTAGGTACGGCGGGGAGGTGGATGGGTAAAAAAATGTGATATTCGCCTATTTCAATTTTTGTATAATAATGAACGAATTGTTCATATAATAAAATACATTGTATTACACATTTCTGACAAAGCTCACACATGACTAGCATGAAAATTAGTCTGTCTGAACGATCTTTAAACAGTTTGTGCTGCTGTTTCTGATGCTGATGATTATAGGTCATGAACCACATGCACATGAGCCTTTTAAACGGTCTTGAAACAGTAATGTGCTGCTGCTTCTGATGCTGATGATTATAGGTCATGAACCGCATGCACACGAGCCTTTTGAACGGTCTTTAAACAGTTATATCACATTGTTGATGAGGCTCACACGTAAACAGCCTGATTGAACGGTCTTTACACGGTCAGGTCACTACTGACGAAGCTAGCCCATGAGCCTATCTTGGGTCAAGAAATTTGCTCAAAAGTAATTTTTTCTAATCTATACAATATTTTTTGTACTGTTTAACGAGTACTAGAATATGAAACGGGCTAAAGTTTCATGACAACACCATTTCGAACGAACTCATGACGTAATTACGTTTGAAAGTAACTTGTCAAGTTAAGTTGAAGTAATTTTCATAAACGTATTGACACCATCTTGACACGGTTTAACGTTACAAATCATGTCTAAAACATTCAAAAAATACCATTTTATGTTTTAAAAAACTGGTTAACCCTACTACTTACGTTTGGTAAAGGAAGATTCTACTCACCAAACTACTAGAAGCATCCTTCACAAAAAGTGAAACGACAAAACATATCAATTATTTCAACTACTGTGGTATGGAGAAGCATGTTGGACCATGAATGTCACATTTCAGGGCAACACACTTTTCTTTACACAATGACTACTTGTTATGCCGTAGGATGCTTTTTCTCAAGAACTTGAAAACAATTTTTAGGCGCAGTAATATGAATGACATATTTAAAAAAAGACCACTTTAACTTGCGCAAGATAAATTTATTTTATCTGCACAATTATGCAAGGGTTATTCAAGATTACATGTCCGTCAAGCAAAACATGCTGAAAGCGTCAAAACTGCGTCTACAAGTCATATTATACAAAGTTTTGCGATTTTTATGCATATACATCAATCGTTTAATGTTGGAGTTCATTGAAATCGTTATAACATGGCTGGAGGTTACACTTTTTGACAAGACATTTTAAATATACTTGTGTTTGTAGGGTTCCAATCTTCGTAAAGGTCATTAGACGGGTGAAAAAAAGACTAAATACTGGGTTCACCAAGCTTTCGACAATTTATAGTGCCATCAACAGGACCTATTTTAAAGCAGATTGGAATCCTACATAGATTATCTGCAGGTCGATCAACGAACTCATACTAGTGTTGTCTATAAACTTTATGTTTTGAGAGCAAGCTTAAAATAATGTATTTAAATGTAGTTTTTAAGGGTTAGGTCCGACATGGAGGTGGATATTTGTAAGTTTATATGGTAAGGGTTCAGACAGGAGGGTGCAGGTTATAATTTTGAAGCTAGCATGTTCATGTTAAATTTGACTTTAAATTTGACAGTTGAAACCGTGCTCGATCGAAACTCTCTTAGAGATATATTCGAATTGTGCAATTGAATTTATAGATAATAAGAGATAAACCGTGCCCTTTGGACACCATCATGATGTTAGAACGTTGAACCTTTTTTTTTGCTGTGCTTGTGTCGTTGGGACTATAACAAAAAAATCGCACTCACCTCAGAAGGAGACAGCCTTGACATGTTATTTCCGACCGAGTTCGAACTTTCCATCCGCTGGTAAAGGCCAATTTTGGAAGATCCTTTCGATCTGGGTGTCTGCGTCGATGAGGAGCCAGGAGGGGAATGCTTCTTACCCTCGGCTCGGGCCGCTTCGCGTTATCAACCGACGCGTTTTCTCACCCGGCTTCCGGCAAACGAGCATAATCTACTTTTTAAAACATAATCCGGATCAGATCATAATCCCCGGCGAATCGGGGGTGGTCCTTTGTCCTCTCACTAACTCTCAGCCCACTTTTGGATTTTTGTGTCCTTTCCTTTTTCGCCTTAGTTTCTCTTCTTCTTCTTTATCACGGCTCTCTTCTTTTTTATCCCCCTTTTTGAACGTTATTCCGCGCTTTAGCTTGTCCACAGTTCAGGATTTTAAAAATAAAAACGCCCCAATAACATCTTCAACGAGTAATTTTGTGGAACGGTAGGTAAGTGTTTGACAAGTTATGAATTTGAGACTCAGCTGTGTTGCAATGGTGACTTGAAACGAAAAACAGCTGTTTTTAAAAAATTAATTAATTATTTTTCTTTATTCGATTAGTTTATCAACCGAACCGTCATAAATTAAATATTTTCGACCTTAATAAACATTTAATAATGTTAAAAATAAAGCACATTATCCTTCAAAATAACACCGGGCCTGTTGAAGCCTTTTAGCGGGAAATTCAAAACGTCCCGCCAATTATAACATTTAAGAACTACAATTTTGTATATTTGAATTTGAATTTTTTATGATAATATAAAATTAACTTAAACTAACTACCTCCTAATAAAACTTTTTTATATATTAAAAATAGATAATCAATTATAATCTTTTATACATTTATAGGCAAGAAATTGTTAATTACAATATTCAATTACTCTATTATATATATAAATGTATAAAAGATTATAATTAATTATCTATTTTTAATATATAAAAAAGTTTTATTAGGAGGTAGTTAGTTTAAGTTAATTTTATATTATCATAAAAAATTCAAATTCAAATATACAAACTTGTAGTTCTTAAATTTTATAATTGGCGAGACGTTTTGAACCAACCAGCACTATGATGTGTTTTTTTAAACATCGATGGCAATGTCATGATGATGAAGAAATATTAATTTTACAGTATCATGTATATGAAATGACAATATACTAATGCTTTGACAATGCCTAAAACTTCAATGTTTGTACATCATGATAATAATTATTTAGAGATCGTGAAATGAGGTTTGGTGTGATGAAGGTGTAGAAAAACATTATCTTTGTCGCGCCAACGCTTTGATTTTTATGGAGATCATTTTCAGGGCCTGGGATTTATAAACATTGTTTAAATTATACAAATATATGTAAGATGTTAAAATGAATTTATGCAATGATGTACACAATATGGAAATTTTAGGTTTGATCAAAATATTTGTACTCACTCGAAGTGAGTGTTTTCTTTGTAGATGTGTCATGGTTGTGTGTCATGTTGAGATGACATATCTACACAGAAAACCCACACGTTGAGTGAGTACAAATATTTTCATTAAACCTAAAATTTCCATATTGTGTACATCATTGTATAAATTCATTTTAACATCATACATGTATTTGTATAATTTAAAAAATGATTATAAACCCCAGGCCCATAAAGAAAATGTTTTTCTAAACCCATACCACACCATCTCAAGATCTAAATAATCATTAACTAGCGGTCGCTAAACACAACATATAATGATAATATTTGAAATGTAGGTAGTTCTGTGCCACGTCTATATATTTTACAATATGACATTGCTTGAAATTTCAATGTTATTAGGGCTTGAAAATGTTTGAAATGTTGTTGGTTCTGTGCCATATCAATGTTCTTATAACATGACAATGCCTGAAATTTCAATGTTCTTGTCATGATAATGTTTGAAATGTTGTTGGTTCTGTGACATATCAACATTCTTACAATATGACAATACAATGTTCTTATATAACGATAATGTTTGAAACATTGTTGGCTCTGTGCCATATCAAAGTTCTTATTACATGGCAATTCTTGAAATTTCAATGTTCTTATAACATGACAATCCCTGAAATCTCAATGTTTTTATTTCATGATAACGTCTGAAATGAAAGTTGTTCTCTGTCATGCCAATGTACTTATAACATGACAATGCCTGAAATTTAAATGTTCTTGTCATGATAATGTTTTAAATGTAGGTGGTTCTGTGTCATCTCAATATGACAATGCAATGTTTTTATATCATGATAATGTTTGAAATGTAGGCAGTTATGTGTCATCTCGATATTCTTACAATATGACAATGCAATGTTCTTATATCATGAAAATGTTTAAAATATTGTTGGTTCTGCCCCATATCAATCTTCTTATGACATGACAATGCCTTACGTGACAACGGCCCTTTGTCACATTTCAAATATGATCATTTTAAAACCTTACAGAACCAGCTTAGTTTAAAAATTTTACGTATTAATGACAGGTATTATCTGACAGGTATATTTCAGGTATTACCACAACATTAAATAGTAGAGCAATACCATTCGTCTGAAATAAATTAAAACAACGATGCAAAACACGGGAAAATTAGTGTTTATAAAGCATTTTTTTAGAAAATATAAAGTTTACCTCAAATATTTCACCAATATTATAATAAACAAGAATATTTTTAATTTGTTAATAAAATTGCGGAAAAATAATCGAATGTAGTGTTTTTGATAATCGATAAGTATGCTATGATAAATATTACAGAAATCGATAGTACAAATAATTTATAAATAAGTAAAGTATGTACATATTAAAAAAAATCGGATTTTGATCAAATTAACAATAAACTGTAAAAAAAGGAAAAAGGTGGTAGAGTGTTTTTATTCTTTATCGACTTGAGTTTTACTTTTTTTACGGTCATTATTGACTATTGAGCCGGGGCTGCCTTCCGTGTCGGCATTTTCACATAACAAAATCGCATTCAAAGACGTTTTTGTTCTTTGTCTTCGTTTAGTTTTCCCATAAACGGCCCATTTGGTCAATTCCAGAGTTTTAGAGATTTGAAGAAAACCGAGGTGAGTATTCTACTTTCTTTAGTAACACAACTTCATTAAAAAGACCACGTTGTCTAGTCAAATCATGGGCAAAAGCAAAAAGCGATAACCTCGATCAATTGTACCAAATATTGCCGAATTTAAAAGAAGCCGGCTTCTTTTTCTTTAAATTAAATCAAAACGTAAAAACTCATATTCGTGTTTAGTGTAAGTTCCGACTTGGTAACAACACTAAGACGGGATGATAAGCTTCACCTTGATTGTAAAACACTAGCATTGATTAACGTGAAATATGTTGAAGAAAAACATGATGACAGTAACAAACAATAAACCCTATGGGAAAATTCTGCCTTGTAAACAGACACTTTCCGACCTACTTGTCATTCTTCCACTTTGCATTTAAAATTTTAAAAGTTCAATCTGTTGGCTTACCATGATTCATGATCACTATGATTTTGTATTTGTAAATGGTTAACTCAAGTTCGTACAAGCCTACAAGGTGTTCACATTGTTGACAATTGATAACGTTTCCTTTGTGTAAACGGTTATAATTTTTATCAATAACCTGTCATGTTAATTTTTTTTTTAAATTATAATTTGCACTCTGTTGCTTATTATTTGTGTTTTTAGGTATAAATTAAATTGCTAGATGGCTGATAACCGTGAACTTCCGTCTGATAGCGAATCCGAGGATGAGGATTACATGCCAGAAGGTAATTGCTGTATAACCGGTAGTTTTGAAAATAATCTAATGTAAATTCCCTGACCTTTAGGCGTGTCCGATGTGTCTGAAGAATCGGGCAGTGGCAGCGAAGAAGAGCCAGACGCCAGCACTGAAGGAGGTGGCCGGAAGCGCAAAAAGTCATCGGCTAAAAAAAGCAAGAAGAGGAAGGCAGAAGAAAAGGAAAATAATGAAGAAGAGACCATAAAGAAAGAATCGGTGGAAGAGCTAAAAAAGAAATCTGATGCTCTATGGGCCGGTGAGTAGTTTATTATTATAATTAGTTATAGCATAAATAACATACAATTATAAGAATGTATTGTGTGATGATTGTAATTTTAAATTGTTTTGTTTTAGAATTTATGAAACCTGTTGAAAGTAAAAAGGTTAAGGAGGAGGATAGTAGGGTGTCTGGTTTGACGGATGAGAAAGAAAACTCTGAGCATACCGAACCAGAAGCGTCTAAGGTCAAGGTGACCCAAGTGTTCGACTTCGCCGGCGAAAAGGTGCAAGTCGAGAAGGAAGTGAACGTCAAGTGCCAACGGGCGCAGTCTTCGACCAGGGGATGCGGCCGGGGACGGGGCGGCATCGCATCGATCCTCGGCCAGCTCGGCAAGAAGGGCAAGCTGAGCACACTGGAAAAAAGCAAGCTAGACTGGGACAGGTTCAAGAAGGACGAGGGGATCGACGAAGACCTCGAGATGTACAACAAGGGCAAAAATGGCTACTTGGAAAGGCAGGATTTCCTCCAACGTACAGACCTGAGACAGTTCGAAATCGAAAAGAACATGAGAGAGGCAAAACGTTCCTTCAATCGGTGAATTTTTTATTTTATTATTAATAAAATCCATTCCAGTTTGTACATACTTAACTAATTATAATTTAATAAAAGCATCTTTGAGACTGTCTTTTTTTTTACTTAATTTTAAATTATATAAGTCTTCCTCTTCTTTTTTTTTTTAATCATAAACTTTGGATTAAAGAATATCCAGACCTGAGAAAATATGAAGCAGAATGTGAGAAAGGCCTATGCCAAATAATAAAATATTTTTGTCAGACTGAAAATATAAAAACCCGCCTAGTTAGTGAATTAAAACAATAATTATAATTGATAATTATATTTATAAAAGATATAAAAGCTAGGAAGTAAAGTAAAGCTAATGTGTGATGCTGCACACATACACAGCATGTGTCTAAGTATATACACGTTTATATGTATATTCATACATACACTTGTGTGTGTTATTTGAGTAATAGTGTGTGATGTGATGCACTATTATGAAAAATATATAATTCATAAAACAAAATAATATATGCTCGCATACATACACATTTGAGTATGAGCATATAGTCATAATTTATACAATTAATTTGTTTATGTTTACATTTGTACATGTGTGTTCTATACTTTGTATTAAACTGTATTTCATAATGTGTACATAAGTATTGTATTTCTACAGAAAGTTGTATGCATGTCATACGAATTATATTCGACTCAAATATATTAATATAATGTATAAGGAATGCGTATGTATGTATATATATAATTCAATATATGATTTTAGGAAGTTATTGCTGCATTTCTTTTATTCTTTTTCTAAGGTAGAAAAATTATGTGTAGGCAATATTTATAATATAATAAATTGACGATTGTCAGTTTTGTCTTTCATCTCTGCTACTGCGTAAACTTTCCCTTGAGGTCCAGTCCGGCTTGGCCATGCGGAGGGCTTGCTCGTAGCTGGGCAGTTCGTCAGCCGGATCGGCTCTGTTGATGGTCGTGATTTCTTCATGCGTCACCTCATCGCGAGCTCTGTTTCGTATTATTTTAAATCTCACTCTGATGATGTAAATCAGAAGGACGAGTACGACCAGGACAACGAAGCCGATGACGAACGGCTGAAGATTGCCCTTTTTCTTCACCTTTGCGTAACAATCATCCCATGCTAGCTCGCAGAGCTTTACGTCCTTCGAAGCCGGCCTGAGCCGCTTCAGTGTATCACAATGACAGGGCCATGGGTTCCCGCCTACATACCCTACACCTGTTACGCTGACTTTTTCCACATCTCTTAGTACGTTGTGTCTCAAATCAAAGAAATCAGCGTCGCTTGAAAACTCTTTAATAAGATTATGTCTCAAGTCAACAGATTCGACATTGCCCAGTTCGACAGTTTCTAAATTGTTATAAGATAAATTTAAAAATTTCACCCTGTAAAATGAATATGTTTTCACTTGGCAGAACGAACAGTCTAGGTGGCAGGAATTGCACAAAACCCTCAATTCTATTATTGGGTTTTTCGCAAGGTCCAAACTCTCGAGGGAAGGCAATTTTACACTTATCCTATTAAGTACGTTGTTTGACAGGTCAACTGTTTTCAACGTGTCTTTGTCTAAGTCTATACTTCTTAAAAAATTCCAGGAAGCGATTAAGACTTCGATGTTGTCGTTTAATTTAAGCTCACTTATCTCATTTCTAGAAATGTCCAAATAGCTCAGGGCAGAGTTAAGATGGATTGACGAGAGTTTGCAGTTAGAAGCTTTTATGACTTTCATCGAGCTCGTCGTGAGGATTGATGTGAGATACGGATTACCCGATACTTCTACAGTATGCACTTGTGGCATGAACGGAATGCCAGTTAGACGGCAGTTGTTAGCGATCAGGATGTGCAGATTGTTGTCGACGATTTTCTTTAGCGGGTTATTGCTCACATGGAGTTCAACAAGGCTCGGCGTTCCATTGAAGAAATTCTCATTCAACATGCTCAGGCCGCAGCTCGACAAGTCGATTTCTTTAAGGTTTGGCGCATCCAAGCGGGTCACCTTCCACAGCGGGTTTCTCGAAATATTGAAATGCGTCAGCCCTGTCGATGTCCAATTCAATGTCCTAATTCTGTTACCTGATACATCCAAAATTTCGACATTATCATACAAAACACCGGTCAGCGTTGTCACACCATTATTACTAAAAACAGCTTCCGACACCTTTAAAATAAAAAAACCATTAAATTTTTTTATATTTTATTTACAAACAAAGGACCTACGGTAGTTTCAATTTTGGGCAGCGCTGTCAACCCGGCCTTGTTACAGTTTATATAAAAATTCCTGTAAATGCAAGCGTGCCTGATGCCTTCGCCGATTTTCGCGTATGACAGGAAGACAAGGAATACGAGCATAGTTCATTCTTTGTGTAATCAAGGCTAAGAAAAATATACATTATATTTCAACATGGAAAATTCGTACGTACTTGCCTGTTTTATTTTGGAAATCATATTTAACATCTAGATAATTTTATGTTTTTTTAACCCTGCGTATAAAACCTACCTGTGACAGATAAAAACGACTGATAAAGGCATTAAGTACATTTTTTGTGTTTATACAACGGTGAGTTTACCCACTCCATGCTGATAACAATCGTTGGGTGCAAGCACTGGACGATTGATCAAATTCTGTTTAATCAGGATATTAAATTTTTTAAAAAATTAGTAATGGAACGATAAACACAGTTAATTACTAATTAATGTCAAATACTATTTGACAATAACAATAGCCAAGAAATAATTCTTAACTCAAATTTTATGGCAAATAAATTTTTTTTTCATAATCTTTTAAATAGAATAGAAAAAAAATAAATAAAATAAAAGTTACATATTTGTACAAAACATTTTCATATATATTAATTTTTCAGTGCATTGTTGATAAACTAATTTCTTTTAACACATTATATAATTTATTCTGTAAATATTACACTGTTTATTTATTAATTTTCATGTTTGTGTAGATGTATATGTATGCATGTATTATTGTATTATACAAATATGGTATGAAGAAGAATATGTTTGTTGTATACATAAATATATATTGCACACTTGCAAATCTACTCATACATTATACAAATCGAGCGACTCATAAATGTACACATAGATACATGATATATTTGTACTCTACATTTGTAAATAAGCACGCCCACATTTTTTATGATCTCAAGAAATGTTACAAATGTTTATACAAACAATGCTACATAAATTGATGATATTTTAACAATAATTTATAAAACAATACAAAAATTCATACAAAAAAAGTAAAAGATTGTTTAATTCCATCTGATTTTGGCAGTTTTTGAACAACTTGAAATTTATTGATTTAATAAAGTATTTTGAGCTAGGGTTTCATCCCAACAGATATTTGGGTTTAAAATGTAGCTATTATAGAGGTAGAGGATGCTCTGGCCGTTGCTGGTTCAACTGATCTTGCAGCAGGCGACGACCGGTGGTTCAACTTGCAAGCCGGCTTACAATGTGACAGATTTCATCCAAGTAGCCGGCATACAGTTCTGCGCGGTTGTTGAGATAGGCCAGGGTTTCTGTAGCGTAAGTTACACCAGGATTGGGAAGCGACATGAGGTTCAAGTCTTGTTCCGCAGATATTTGCCGAGATGAGAAATGACCCGACAGCCGGCGACTTGATCCCTGGCTCACTCGTCGAACTTTACCTTGGAACCTGCTCATGTCAAACTATGAAACAGTGGGAGTTCTGCAGTCGGCCTTTAAGAAATCTAAGGCCTTACGAATGCTCTTTTCAAGAAAAAGGAGAAGGTTAACCATAACATTTCCACCTATTTGAATACTTTATTTAAAAAAAAAAATTATCAGCAGATTTCACCACCCATAAATCCAGGGTGCACAGGAGGCTTTGCGATTTGACTGTGATGGCTGAAATCAACAGCTGCAACTGCAGGAAAAAATTGTCCCAGAGGACTCTCTATCCGATTGAAGGCAAAGCTAAATATAACAACAATGTTCAAAACAATTTTTAAACAGATAAATATTTAAAGGTTTCCCAACTTGCTATAGAAACCCGCTTCCAGGATCAGTCTGTTCGACTCACAGCGTATGCGGTGTCTACGGGTGTTCGGCACGTACAGTCTTAGGTCTTACTGTTGTCAAATGTGATGAAAACTGTTTTGGCGGGCAACCTGTATTTAATTCTTGAGCGTATTTTGTCTGAAAAAATTCTTAAAATGATTTTTTAGTTCTGCGAAGAGCCTGGACTATTATCTTCGCTACCAGTTGTTGTTACATCTATCTGGTCCAACTGGACTTGTATCTTGAACGATGATTTTTTTGAAATAAGCGAGTCAATCTGCTTGGAAAAAGATCTGTATGTTCAATGGGAATAAAATTATGATTTTGGAAATATATTTTAAATTCATTATGCAGGACATCACCGGCTTTCGATTGCCTTGGGCCCAGGAGTTTGTGGTAAGAATTACAACACTTCATTAGTCTATATTTGACAAAATTAAATATGTAATACAATACATATAAGGTAAAAAAATAGCTTTATTCCAATAATATCAAAACAGAGAATTGTATGGTAAGGAACAATAAGCCAGAAGGCTGGGGAGCAAAACCCCCATGTCCTAGTATCCATCAATCAGAAAATAGTACTCCTTGTCTCCTCGTACTTACAGGAAGTGATGTTACACATGAACAAGAGGCCAGCACCCCGTAAAATTCCTAAATTTTTGCCTGTCAGTGTTTATATAAATTTATCTCCTGTAAAATATATCTGTGTATATATGAATGTATCTACGTCTGTATGATGATATTAAAAGTTGTACTTACAGCTGCCCTGGAAATTATGATGAATGCTTCTGTGAAGTAACAGTTTCACTTGGTGAAATGAAGGCTACAAGATTCATAATAAAAGGATATCCACAAACTTCTCTTTACTGTAAACTCAATTAATGTACGCTTATGAAATTTACGTTTACACTTTTATTTTTGTTCTTCAGGGCAACGTAAGATGAAACTTAAACTGATTGACAACAAATTGAACATTATGGATGGATTTGCCGATGATATGATTGCGAATAAAAAGAGAAAAAACAAGAAATACTCATTTATTCGAAAAATTAAGGAGTTCTACAACTAACAAAAGTTTTTTTGATTGAAAATCATACAATTTGTCGTCTAATGTATGGGCAAATTTTGTGCAAATTCTGTAAAGGATATCCGGTTAAGTGATACGACTGAGACGAGTGGGTTGTCATTCGAAGGCATGACGAGAAGCCTGGCTGCGACGTATTTGAACAAATATTTCCATTTCAGGCTGACCTTTTCCTCATTCACCATCATATGGAAATCCTCAGACTGTATATGGATTTTAAAAACCTTAAATCTCGTTCTTTCTAAAAATTGTGACTCACCACACAACCAAGCACATTGGCCGCTACATTCCCAGTCAGTCGGCAGTTGCTTAAGATACTGGTCAGATCCATGAGGGATATGCGGAGGTCGTAATTGACCAGTATTGAAATAGTCTGGTCCGGTCTAGATATGCAAGTTGGATTGTCACAAACCGAACCAACTATCTTCTTGCATAGCGAACTTAAGAAATAAATACATATTTTAAAAAATAATAATAATCATCATTTCCATTTGCATACCATTTTGATGATATTATTGGAGTTATTCCGTCAATGTCGAAACTTTCAACAAGTGCGTAGACGAGAGCTGTGAACTTTTCATTGTTTCCATACCTTGCATGGTTGATCACAGCTTCACAAGACATTACATTATTTATAGTCTCAGCTAAAACAATTTTTTGGTTTATTTTAAATTTTTTTTAGTTATTAAAAAGTCATACGCAAAGGCATCAATTCAGCAAGCATATCGACAATCGCGACAGGCTGAAGGGGTGCGGTTGAAGCGAATTGTGCCAAAGCCATTGCTTCCTTTGTATCCGGATTTTCTGTGACAATTGTCCTCGGCCCTATATCACCATAGAGACTTCTCCGAAATGCATTCCATTTTATTTTAATATCCGACAAAAATAGAACTGAAATATATATTTAAAAAAAAAAAAATGTCATTACGAATATGGTGTAAAGTCAATTTGAGAATACTTGTGAATCTCGGTTTCCAAATTTTTGCCCTTTCTATCAATTCATTGTTCCAGAGCTGGATTGTAAAACCAGTGCTCGTCCTGTCCATCACCAAAAATTCCAAAACAACCGATTCATTCCCAAATCTCGTTTTGTAATTATGTGATACACCGACTTTCTGCACGGCTACTAGCAGGTTGACAAACTGATCATTGAGCAAACTGCCGTTCGATTTGACTTCAGAGAGGGACAGAAAATTGCCAGGCGGTTTCGTCGGCATGTGGAGAAGTTTGATGTAATTAATACAATCCTCTGCATCGTGTAGAGTTATCTCAGAATGATGTTCATTCATAACAAGCTCCAAACAACTAACAAACTACATCAACATTTGTTTTCAAACTGAACAAATTAAATACCTAGTAACTGTTGGATGATATTGACTGTTTATGTCACTAGGGTTCCTTGTAGACACTCTTATGTTTATCAAATCAACTGAAATTAATTCTCTTAAGAGATAATTTAATAAATGGCATATTCAATCTTTCATACCGACGTCTCCAGTTCGAAAAGAAGAAGCGAGGTATTCGGTATAAGAAGGTGAACCCCAAGCTGTAACATTTATATAATCTGTGGGCGAATCCCTAAAAGTAAAGCCCCAGACTCCTCGTTCCGTTCCATCTGAAATTTACTAGAGACATTGAAAGAACATAAATGCGCTGAAAAAAATTGAGATTTTTTTGCTACTTGGCTCAAAACTGAATGCCCAGGAAATTTTTCCATTTGAAGTGAATGGTTCTTTTTTCAAGCCTCAGTTACTTATTTAAGGATTGAAATTTAATATAAAAAGACTTTACAATAACAAAAAAATAAAATATGTTCAAAAAGAATAAGGACATATATACATGGTAAAATTATAAATGGTAAATATAAATGATAAATATATACAATTCAAAGAGTAAAAACAGAACAACAAAAATAAACACATAATTATTGAGTAAATTAAGGCAAAGAAAACAAAATAAAGCTGAAAGACAATTGAAACTGCAATATTTATTTACATATTTAATGAAAATAATGCTCTTTGTAGATATATAATAAGACTAGAGTGCAAGATTTAGGTGAACCAGCAAATGAAATAAATTATAATAAACTTTTAACATCATGAAATATAAAAGCATTTAAAAAAAATATAAATTGGTAAAAAAATTCAACTAGAGTAGGGTTGTAGAATATGGTTTTTCATATTTTGCACATTACTATTGACGAAGTCAATGCATTGCAGATGTTACTTTTGATCATCATGCGGTGTAGAGAAGAGAGCATGTAGTTAGCGCTTTGGAATTCAATATAAAATAGTTTGTGAGTGCAAAGGTGCGAAGGGACGTGTAGCTGTAGCTGAGAGAGGAGAAAAGGACTATCAATGATATTGTTTAATAATTTAATTACAAAAACAAAACCAAAGTAATCCCTTGTTTGTGCCAGTTCGAAAAGTTTAAATTGAGAGCGGATTCCAGAGTAGGCAGAGTTCGGAGGAAGATTGAGCTTGTAAAAAAGTTTTCTTAAAAATTTGTTTTCTACAGATTGAAATTTTTTTTGATAATTTAGATAGTATATATAACAGATAGTATGTAATTTTGGTGGTTTTTTAGGGTGAGAGGAAGGGTCGAAAATTCCAGGGGACTGTGGTGGATCGAACTCAGGACCACAAGGTCTGATACACTAGCCACTTGGATACTGCAGTCCTCTGGTTCATTACATTCAGCTAGGGGCATTTCCATTCGTGTCTTAAGGGATTTGTTTCGTACAATGTCTAGCCTTTCTTCTTTTTTAATTTGGATTTAGGCATTTTATGAAAAAAATTGATCTTAAGTCTATGCCAGATCCTATGGTTGCTTTAATGTGACAAGGAAATGTCAGTGAAGTGCAAAAGGCAGCAGCGCTTTATTATGACCTTCAACTAAATGTCTATGAATATGTTATATTGGCTTTTCAGTTTATTTTCTTTGCTGGAGTGCAAATAGAGGGGAAAATTAGAGAAAAACCCGCAGACTAATTACACTGTACTTACTATATACATTTCATTTGTTTTTAACCATTTTCAATTAGAAGTACAAACATAACCTATATCACGACAGCATGCAAACTAACACTATACAGTTCAAAAATTTTCCCTCGAACATCAGAAATTTGTACTAAGGACAATCTATCTATGTAAAACATTGTTTTAATTAATGTTTACATTATAAATTTTATTTTTATACCAGAATACACATCCAAAGTGTAATATGACGAACTTAACCTCAACTCAATCAATTTATATTTATTTCCTATTACCATTATATTCCTATTACCGTTATATTTAAATCTAATGAGTAAAGCTTTTGTAAATATTTTTTTTAGTTAATTCTTCATAGGAGTGATATTTGATTTTTTTCTGCCCACTTTACACAGAAGGAAAATCGAATATAAGCATGACTCACCTTTCTTGCTTATGAATGTTTTTGGATTCCTCTTGGCGATGATGACGCCGACAATAAAAAAATTGACCGACGTAGGCGTAAGCGTGCTCAATGTCATCTTTTTCACACCAGCAGCCGACATTTTTCCTTCGAAGATGAGAAAGGACAAAATGTCTGCTGCAGTTTTAAAAAGCCACTGGTGCCAACTTAATCATTTAACTATTAAATTTAAAACTTGCTAAATTTTCAATTTTTACTGTTTGATTGGCAATAAAGTGTTATAAAAAGTTAATTATTTTAAAAGATTCACATGAAACAATATGAACTTAGAAAGTGTGAGGGTTGATGGAAGATTGAATTTTTATTTTGGGGATGAGGGCCATTATAAAAAAGGAATTTCTTTGGAGGGGGGCATTAGATTATAAATAGTAGTTTAAAAAATTTGTAAAAGAAAAAATGAGTATATTTAAATATACAAAGTCTATTTCTTGTATCCGCAAGAGCTCCTGCGGCCTCTGGCCCTCTCGTACTTCCTTCCCTTAGATTGGATGTACGGCTTCGTGTGCGAGCGAGGGGCACCAGGAGCAGGTCCAAAATGTTTGACAGCCTCCCGAGCATTCCTCTTCCCTGTAAAAATAACAAAATTTATTAATTACAAAATAACATTCGAGCAAATTCGGTACATACCTTGCATGAGGACGGTGTTCTTGCCTGTCGGGCACATCCTCGCCAGCTCATCAAAAGACACGAAAGTCCCTTGGTTTTTGAAGACCCTGTTCCTAGCTGCCTCCGTCATACGCAAGGCACAGATCTACAATAGTAAGACTTTACATAATGGGCAGATTTGACAAACAGAATAAAATTTACCTTCAGCTTAGGAAGATTGGTGAGCCTTGGGTCGTCGACCACAGTACCAACGACGACAGCAATTTTATCAGCACGGCCAGGCTTCTTCATGAACCTTGCAACTCTAGATAGAGAGATAGGAGGCCGATTGACTCTCGACATGAAGAGCCTTTTAAGAACAACTCTGTTGAACTTGGCATGAGTCCTTCGTGCAAGAAATCTATACAACTACAAACCAAACTATGAATATTACAATGACGTATTGGTAGATACGACTAAAAATCCAATGTAAATATCCAGCCCACTGCTGCATCATCACTATAATTTTTAAACAATTATAATGACAACAAGCAATAATTTTGCATCTTTTCCTGTTTAACAGAATTGTATTTGTTGAAGTTGCTGCATCATCACATCAATATAACAATTTTTTCTGATGGATAAAAAATGATAAGTTTTTTGTATATGACAAGCAATGATTTCTAAAATTTTACTGTTGTCAGATTGATTTAGCCCCTAATGAACTCCATTGATATGGAAAAAATGGCACAGACTGAATCTTTCAAAAATGTGTTGTTGCATCATCGCATCAATATGACAATTTTTTCTGATGATTGATAAAGAATGATTAATTGTTTATATACGACAATGATTTTTAACTTTTACCGTATATGTCGGGTTTCTTTTGACTGATATGAACAAAATGGCACAGATTGATTCTTTCGTTTAAATGTGATGCTGCATCATCGAAACATTGTTCATTCAGCGTTGCTTGGTAATTCAAACCCCCCCCATGGCAATTTCCTATTTTTTAAAATTTTATGCGTCATGTTCTGCTTTTTTTTCATCCATTTAGTAGGTTGGAACAGTCCGGCCGTCATTTAGATCACCAACATTTTCTACATTTAAGAGACAATTTTTATGCTTTTATCATGACATTAGTTCAGTTTCTATAGCCCTAAAACCAACTTGATTAATATGGACAAACTAGATGCTGCTTCATTTAAAAAAAACAAAAAAAAAACAAGTTAATAAAGCAAAAAGATGGATTTTTTTTTATATGACAAGGAAATTTTTTTTAAACTTACCATTTGACATTTCTTGGGATTGTCCCACAAAACAAATTTAAAGTAGGGAACACACCTGAAGCAAGTTCAAAGTCCAATTTTCCATAAGGTTGTATTACCGCCGTGCACATCTGTTCGATGCTATGCAACGTTACCCTACTCTATGCTCTGCGATCCCCAATGTCCAAATTTTCATCGGATAGCGTCAAATACAGTCAAAGACAAAAGAACCGGACACTCATATTTTTATTCGAACATTTGTTATTGTCGTTATAATTACAACAAACTTATGCAATAAACTACACCAACTATACAAACCAAATTAACCGAGATAAAAAATATATTAGTTTTTTTTTTAAATTACTTTTAATGGTTTGGTACAAAAATTGATCAAAACTGTAATACCAGTTTTTGATATAATGAATTTAACTAACAATTTATTACAGTTTTGCTCATAAAATTTTACTAACAATTTATTTCTTGGTTTTGCACATACAACAATTACACCATTTTCGTCGAGTAGCATCAGAACAGGATGCTCATATTTTTTGTAGTTTATTTGAAACTATGTATATGTAATTTTGTCATTATGTTATTACAACATTCTTATTTTAATATAAAACAAATTAAACGAAATCATTTTTATAAAAATTATTTAATTATGATGGTTAGGCAGAAAATTTATCAAAACGCCAGAATAACTTTATTTAATTTAACTAACAATTTATTGCATTGTTTTGATCAAAATAATGCATTAAGAACAAAAGAGGCATTGCAAGACTGTACATGGCATGCACTTGATGTTGTTTAGATGTGCACACTACCAAAGCGTGGCAAAACGTCGGCTAGCGATGAATTAGGTGTGTTCCCGGCTTAATTGAAATGGAATAAATGGCAAGATTTAATATATCCGGGTGTTAGAACTTTTTGTGGTATCTTCATAACAAAGACCTTACAAAGGATACTTCGAAAATTTCTTACGTGATTACTGCCAGGTAGATAAAAACTTTAATTTCAAAGTGTGATACTGCATCACCACAACAATATAACAATTTTTCCTGAATGTAATAAAGCATAAAAAATTCTTGAGCGTCTATCGCCCCAAAACAATAATAAAGAGCGTGGCAATAGCTTTAAACTTGTACTATTTTACAGTTATCGACGAGACAAGTCCATTGAATTTGTCGGAGTGTGATTGATGTCACCGTCCGGCTGGATGTCTGCACAGCCCATTTCATGAGTACAACAAAATCTCAACACATTCAATGCAAAATATACACGCAATGTTTCTACACGGTTTATGTAATGTGACAAATGATATTAAACATCAGTAAAACTGACAATTCTCGATGAGGTGTAAACCAGAAGCCGGACTCGACAAAACAATGATCCGCATGACCTAACCTGAACTCGAAAACCTCAAAACTTGTCTTTCCTCCCACAAAATACCATTTTTTGGTATCATACCGACCCAATCCAGGCCAGAAAAGGGTCAAAATCAGAATTAGACTTAATACACCGTATACTCACTTTGACGAGCAGTGCCAGGTAGACGTCTTCCGACTTGGGTTTCGTCCTCCTCACCTTACGGTCGTATTTATGATTTATGTCGATACCCTGTGAAAACAACGGCGTTGAGAACAGTCGAATTTTAAAATATGAAAAAGGATTCTATGGATCCTTAAGGATAAGAATACAAGTCCACTCACCATGCCGAGCCGAACAGAATCGAGAACGAAACGTACAACTCAAAATGGACGAACTCGTCTATGCCACGTGAATCGCACAGAAATAAACTGCTCTCTATCTTTCTTTATTTCTATTTATACGATTAAATATAAACCGTTAATAATTATTTAATATTTATGCTTATATTCGAAAAAATAATTATTCATAAGTTTGTCGTTTTAAAAAAGAGTGAAATTGAATTAAATTATGTATGACGTCACATTGTTGATAACTAGAGAGAAGGTAACGGTTAACCGATGGTGACAATCAAAATTCTTTATTTTTCAAACTAGTTGTTTGTAAAAAGTTATTATGATTTTAAAAATATATTATATTGTTTGTTGCAAGAAGCATAATTTTACGTTTAAATTGTTGATTTTTTGACTTTTTGATTTGTTTTTGAATGTTTGTTTAAAGATTTTTGGATTTTTCCGTTTTTTAAATTTTATTTTGGCTTTTTATTTGTCAAGGCGATTTTGGCTGTTCAATCAGTATTTTCTTTAATTGTTTGCGTTTTGTATGAGAAAACGTATGCAGAAGTATGGAGTTGTATGACGTCACGAACGCTATAGGATGCTGCAAAACTTCGGAACTTTTATTTCTCTACCATTTTAAATTGTACATTATATTATTTATTATAATTTCGTTTGATTTTTTCTGTTTTTTTATCAATTAAAGCCGGTGGATTTAAAGGAAAATTGTTTTGTTGTTCTTAGCTGTTTTGGGAATTGAAAAGGCATTGTGTGTTTTTATTTTTTTTTTTTGCATGATTGGGGGGAAACCTTCGTTGAACCCATTACTGTTATTCTTGCTTGTCAGTTCCTGCTTTTTAAATTTTCCGAGACGCTCAGGGAAATTCCTCGGGTCGTCGGTCCTGCCAAAATTTCCAGTTTTGAGTGGTGCTCGCGGTGCAGAGGGTGTCGGGCTGAGCGCCTTCCCGGCCGGCTAAAGGAATTTCCCTGATTCAGAATTTCCTTTTGTTCCTCTCTTCCCCCCGGGTCGTACTGTCACAAAAGAGAGTTTTGATGAAAGGCGATTTGGGGGCGTTCGGCGGACGGTGGGAGCGCTGATATTATGGTATATCCCCGTTTTATATTAAATGGGATTAGGGAAGACACATCTGCAAGGTATCTCTCTGTCAGGAGGGAGGAGCGGCAGAGTTCGGAGAGCGAGTCAGAGACCCAGTCGGACGACCTAATGGAAGGCCCAGGTTCGAATGAGTACAAATTCGTCGAAGCATCGCACTCACAGCAGGTAAGCGGTGAGATACGCTTTGCCACTACGTTGCACAAACCACACAGTAGAACGTCACAGGCTTGATACGGTTGTCCATCCTCTTCTTTACTCACATCGACCAAGATAAAATGTCTTCCAAAACCAAAATCCCATGAACAAATCTTTTCTTACAATAATGCCAATTTGACATAGATCTGACAGAGTCCAGTAGCTCATAAGTCATAACGCATCAAGAAGTATTAAAAAACCAACTGCTTGTTAATTTTTATATTTCATTGCAAGTAGACATAATTTCTTCTCCAATGCAGGTTCAGACATGTTTTTACACATCATATTCCAAGATAACGTTTGTTAAAATCCTTAAAATAAGTAAAATTTGACTAATTTTTATATTATTTACAATAGACACAGGAATTCATTCAAGAAAACACTATTAAAACTGTAAATTTTCCACTCTTACAAATTTTCTGGTAGACAGTTGTCTTATAATGTACTGTTATACAATCATAACCTGACAATGCAATTTTATTTCCATTTCGGCCCAGTGTTTGTTCTTGACCGCTAGTCACGACTTCGACAAATTATTGAACAACCGATCACTAAAAATCACACATTACAGCATAAAGGCCATTTCAAAACGCTCAAGTTCAATTTTTATTTTCCAGCTTTAAAATTGTCCATTCAGCCTAAAAGTACAGGAGAAAATTATGTTAAAACTGTAAATTTTTGCATTCTTGCATATTTTTCTTGTAGACAGTTGCTGCTAGACAATCATAAACTGGCAATGCAATTTTATTTCCATTTTGGATCAGCGTTCATTCTTGATCGCTCCTCACAACTTCAATCAACTTATCGCTAAAAATAAAAAATTACCATTTCAAAACCCTTAAGTTTCACTTTTATTTTTCAGCTTTAAAATTGTTCATACAACTTGAAATTTAAGGAGAAAATTATGTTAAAACTGTAAATTTTGCATTCTTACAAATTTTTCGGGTAGACAGTTGTCTTATGAAGTGCTATTATACAATCATAAATTGACAACGCAATTTTATTTCCATTTCAGCTCAGCGTTCGTTCTTGACCGCTCCTAAAGACTTTGACAATTGAAAAACCGACCGCTAAAAATCACATATTACAGCATAATGACCATTTCAAAACCTTCAATTCAATTTTTATTTTCCGGCTTTGAAAATGTGCATACAACCTAAAATTATAGGAGAAAATTATGTTAAAAGTGTAAATTTTGCATTCTTACAAATTTCACACCGTATTTTTCTTGTCAACTAATCTTATGGAGCAATTGTAATACAATCATAATCTAATCCCCACCTTTATTTAATTGCTATTTTCTATTTAATGTACGATTAAATTTAATATTTATTTGTTTTAATGGTCAATTTATTATCTTTGTAGAGTAAAATTGATTTTAGTTTTTTAGATGATCATGGGGTCTCTTGTATACTGTTAGACCAATAGAGACATTCTCCCATTTTTATACACAATTCCAGGCTGTATTTAAATATATTTTTTTTTACTTTAAAATTCCTCTAAAAAAAAACCCTTAAATTATTGCTAAAAAAAAACACAATTAAATTTGATATTCTTAATGTAAACAGAATTATCAATGAATAGTTTAAATATATTTTTTCTTTCCAAAAGGTAGATCGGAGATGAGGCCAGGAAGACAGAAACAACATTTATTTTCTTGTCGAGCTTTCGGCAGAATATATGCCTTCATCAGGACTTCGAAAAAAATCGTTATACTATGTATATGAACAGGTACATGTGTGGATAACGGATAGCCAGGGTATAATGATTTTTTTCGAAGTCCTGATGAAGGCGATATATTCTGCTGAAAGCTCGACAAGAAAATAAATGTTGGTTTTGTCTTCCTGGCCTCATCCCCGATCTACCTTTTGGAAAGAAAAAATATATTTAAACTGAGAAGGCTGATCAATCACCAAAGAAAATGAATAGTTTGTTAAAACTGTTCATTTATTGGGCTATTTATTATATTATTATTTTATTTATTTTTCACTCATTTGTTTATCTCATTCTTGTTAACAGTATAGTAGATCATAACGATTTACAAATTTAACAAAAGGATTTCTCCTGTTGACAGTTTTCTTATGACCTATTGTTGCACAGAGATAACATATCAATCCCATTTTATTTTTATTTTTTTTAAACAATAATCAATTAATTATGGTAAATAATTGATTGATTTTTGTTTTATTTGTTTTAGCGGTTAATTTTGTAATTAAAAAATGTCTGTAAATCAAAATTTATTTATTTATTACATTAATGGCAAGCAGCCAACTTTTACAACAGTGCACATACTTAAAGTATATGGAGTTACATAGTTTTAAATTTGACAAGAGATGAACAGAATAAGTGCAGACAACTGTTTAAGTTATTAGCTTTTGTACATATTCTAGGAATGGGAGCATTTTTTAGGTAGTTCGCTTTACAAAATGGTATATGGAATAGAGGAGTGAATCTGGTCCTCTTATCTGGTAGATTAAAATATATCTTCTCTAACAATTCAGGACAACTAATCATATTCCTTAGAAGTTTTACAAGAAAACAATATCAATAGATGATCTATGCTCTTCTAATGAACTAATGTTCAGTGTATTTCTAAGAGTTGCATACGATATCTGACTAGTATTTAGACCAAGTTTGTAAGAAAAGTATTTAAGAAATTGTTTTGAACAGATTCAAGTCTATATAAATAAAACAACTGAGTTAAACTCTAAAATTGGCCTTATCAGATTGAAAAACAATATTTTTAGGCAAAATATAATATTAAAGTCCTGTGTATTTTTTTTTTTTTTTTCAAGAAACCAAGTAGTTTCAAACATGTATTTACAATTAATAGATTTTAGTTTGGTCTTTGCAATCCCGGTCTGATGTATGTTATTACCAGGGTGATCAGATACAATAAAATTTTTAGATATAATTTCCCTCTGAGCTTTCATAATTTTTTTTTTTTAATTGCAGCTTCTCCTTGGCCTTAATACGCTGAGGAAACGTGGTGAATTCTGCGATGTAACGATATCTGTCGAAGGGCAGAAATTCCCTGCACACAGAAATGTCCTGTCTGCATTTAGCCCTTATTTCAAGGTAAAAAAAAAATTAAACATTGTTATATTATTATTTACATATTTTCTTGAGTAGGCAATGTTCCTGAGTCATTTAGTCGAATCTCGTCAGAATGTCGTAACACTGTTGGGCGTCGAACCCGAAATGGTCGGCCTGCTATTGGATTATGCTTATACTAGTCAGATAATGATAACCGGTACGAATGTCCAGGCGTTGTTGTCCGCCGCGAATCTCCTACAAGTATGACTCGTTCTTAACGTCGTGTTTAACGTACGTAAACAGGTTTTATTACCAGGTCCTGCCCGTTAAAGAGGCATCTTGCCGTTTCCTTGAGAACCACATTGATGCCGGAAACTGCCTCGGGATCCACTGCTTTGCCGAGGTGCACGCATGCATCGAGCTGCAGGAAAAGACTAAGTGTTATGTCCTTCAGTATGAAAACTAGTGTTTTTTGCAAAAAAAAAAAAAAAAAAAGAAGAAAAAACATTAATGTTTTATGAATGTTAGGAATTTCTGCGAAGTATATAAGCAAGAAGAGTTCCTCAATTTGAGCACTTGCAAGCTGATGGAGCTGACTTCGAACGACAGCTTACAGGTCGAGAGGGAAGAAATTGTGTTTCAAGCTTTAATTAGGTGGTACCAGCACAAGCCAGACCAGAGAAAAGTAGATTTTCCAAAGGTAAAAAATAAACTCATTATAAAATTTCTTTAAAATAAAAATGCAATGTTATTTTTAGCTTTTAGAAAATGTAAGGTTGGCCCTTTTGAGCCCATATTTCCTAGTCGATTGTGTCGAGGGCAATCCAATTGTTGCGGACAATCCCGAATGTCTAAAATTGATTGAGGAGGCGAAGAGGTACCACCTACTTCCTGACAGGCGGCACGAGCTGGCGACACAGAGGAGCAAACCTCGACTTACCTCCGATACCATTGAGGTAAGCCAAAATCAATGGTTCATTTCGTGTAAACCTGTTACTCTGCTTTTAGGTCATTGTCGCTGTCGGTGGTGAAGATGACAAAGTGGTGTTACGGGCCGTCGAATGCTACTGTACAACGACGAAGACATGGAAGTCTCTTGCCTGCCTCCCGTTCGCCATTAGGTAACCACCTACATTTTTTTATTAATAAAAAAAAAGTTGAAAAAACATTGTAAGCAGCAAGCACGGCCTTGTCGCAAGTGGTAAAAACACACTTTACCTCGCCGGTGGAGAGTTCCCGGATGGCGGGCCATCCAGGTCTGTCTGGCGGTACGATCCTGTTCTTGACTACTGGCAAGAAATGGAATCGATGCTCGTCTCCAGATCTGAACTCGGTAGGATTTCATATTTATTTTATTATATTACTATCATAAATTTAATGTTTTTGTTTCTTCTTTCTATATATAAAAAAAGGTTTAGCCATGTTGGATGGATTTTTGTATGCTGTTGGAGGCTGGGAGGGTGCGAATCGATTGAGTTCTGTCGAAAGGTACGACCCGAGTACGAATACGTGGTCTTTAATTGCTCCGATGAAGATGGCGCTTACGAGCGCTGCCGTAGTTGCACATGACGGGCTCCTTTACGTCACCGGTAAATCTTTTGTCACTTCTGTTTTTCTCTATAAAAAGAAAAAATAAATTTTTGTAGGAGGCGCAATTTTAGAAGAGGGAGACGGAATTGAATTGGTCCAGAGGTACGATCCGAGGAGCAACACTTGGTCCGAAGTCTCACCGTTGAAGATACCGAGGAGCGGCGCCGCCATATGCGCCCTCGACAATTTTATATACGTCGTAGGTGGATGGCACGCATCGACTGACAACACGAACAGGGTCGAGTGCTACAACATCAAGACTGACACGTGGGAGTTCAGGTCGTCCATGTGTGAAAAACGTTACAGGCCGGGTACAAATATATATATACATATTTTTCATGATAGAATTTATTAAAGTGAATTTTGTACAATTTTTTTTTTTCCAGGCATATCAGTTATTGATGGGAAAATATACGTCCTTGGTGGTGAAGAAGGTTGGGATAAATACCATGCGTCCATAGAAGTGTACAACCCGGAAACTGATACGTGGACATTGTCAGGGGAGATGCTCACATCTCGCAGCTGGCTTGGATGTGTTCCATTGCAGGTAATTAAAAATAAAAAAATAAAATATTTATTTATATACTGCTTGTGGAAATTATTGGCAAAAATTAATTTTAAAATTTTCCTACTGCTAGATTTCAAAACAAGCCCGTGGTTCTTATTTCCAACAGTGAAACAACACAAATTTAAAAAAAAAAAAAATAAATAAATAAATAAAAACTTAACTTTGATGTAAGTAAAGTAAATTATTTTTAAGTTATTAGCAAAAAAAAAAATTTTTTTAAATAATTGAATTTTCACAAGCAACACAAAACATAAATTATTTTGTTATTACCATTTAATTATACTTTTTTTAATGTGTTTATTGCAGGTTCGTAAGTCCAACTGTCGAGACGTGCCCTGACATCAGCCCCCCCGCTTTGCCTGGATTTTTGATTGATTTCTAAACTCACCGGTTAGGAAACAGCCAAATTTTTTAAAATTTGTCTCAAAAATAAAATAAAAATTATAAATAATAATAATAATTTATAATTTTCTGTCTGTTCAAGGCCGTAAATCAGCCGAGTGCTCCACGCCCATTGCTAGCGGGTATTTTGTGAAAAATAAAAACAATAAAACAGGAAGCTTTTTTAATAAGCATAACTATAAATTTTTAAACACAAATAAATAATATTAAGCGTCAAACTTTAATTTTATTTTAGTGTTTATTAAATTAAGTATTATATAAAATTTATAGTATAATAATTGAGCTGTGTTATTTATTAAAACTCGTTGAAACTCTCTTAACCAAACGCTGGTAAGATTTTTTTTTCATTCTTACCAACTAATTATGTGTTGTTATGTGAATATATTTTTGATTTTTATATTTACTGCCTAGAAAAGAAGAATAAAAAGTATAAAAAAATACAGCGTATTTTTTCTGTTGAGTTACCAATTTGTGAGTAAAAAAAAACAAAAACAAAAAACTCAATCCCAGCGAACCATCCATGGCGTGATGACATTTGTTAATCGTGTGATATGTTACATTTTGAAAAATTTTTGTGTAAATAAATTTTTTTTGTTAAATATTATATTGTGCACTGTTTTTCAAATACCCGAGCCAAAATGTAAATTGTATTTTCCAACAATTTTATGCAATTATAATTAAACTATATTGCAAATACAAATGTATTGATGGATTATCGATCGTAAAACACTTAGGCCCAAAAACTAAAACATTTAATAGGATTTATCGATTTCATGTCTCGATCTGCATTTAAAATGTTAGGTTATTAATTGTGTGCTTGTATCTAAAGGAATCGATTTTCAGTCAAATTTTTCACAATTTGAAATTTGTATAAGAATTAGTGTCAGAAAAGAAATTGTTAGGGGGGTGAATAGAATTTGAATAGAATAGAATAGAGCATAAAATTTTAGGTTCAGCGAATTACGTTGAAGATTTAGGTGGAGCTGATCAGCATCGACATGGAGGCTAGAGACAGGGCTGGTCCGAAAAGCCCCATTTACAATCCTCAACCCCATGTTTTGAATTGGATCAATGATGCCAATTTTTTTTTTCTTTGGCAGAGTTATATACTTCGCTTCTGAATTCCAATCATGATCGTACTAGAGCATTACATAGGCGCATTAGTCCTTTACGATCAGCATCCCCCAATGAACAAGAACTGACAGTTCTTAACACTTATTATGTGTTGTTATGTGAATATATTTTTTTTTATATACTGCCTAGAAAAGAAGATCGAGAGCACAGAAGAAATTATTTTTAGATGTGCAACACAATTAAGTTCCTAACAAAAACAAATCCTAGGTATGTAATTGTATCTTTCTAATTATCAAGACCCACATCTATACTTTTCATTCCTTGTACAGGTTATGCAGTTTTCAGTGCCCTCAAACCAAAATGATTATCCCCCTGGTTTTTACCCGACCATATTCCACTATATTGGCGAAATATAATAACACCACCACTCCTGACTACAAATAGAAACAGGAGTTTCAAAAAATCAAAAACGCACTGCCCTCAGCGACGTATGTACAAGATGGTTCTAAGATGTCAGTGGTGTTGGAGCTACAAGTATCTGTGTAAAAAGGAAATATTTATTTTCAATAAATCCCCTAGAAAGCAACTATAGCGCCGAAACAATAGCCATAAATAAATCCCACAACATAATCCATTCATCTTATAACCATTACTTGCTCTGACTCCATGGCTGCTCTGCAAACACCATCCTTTCAGCAATTATGTTACGGTACAGGATCTATTTTACGCATTGAGATGTCTTGAGTAGCAAAGGTAACAAGAATTTTTCTTTGGATTCCTGATCATGGGTATTCCTGGTAATGAGAGAGCAAATAGCTGCCAAGGAGGCAGTTGGAGATGGGAACATTGTTGTGGAAGTAAGCAAGTATAATCTCATTGCGGCCTTTAGGGAGAAAATATATTTACAATGGCAAAAACCTGGCATTCAGTTACAAACAACAAGCTTTGTGAAATCAAGTCAACCACAAAGGCATGTTCTTCATCGTTTAGGTTGAAGAGAAGGGAGGAGGTTGGATTGAGGTTGAGAATAGGGCACTGCGGGACCACCAAGGGTCACTTAATGGCCCATGACCCTCTGTCTGTATGTGTAGTATGCAATTAAATAATAACAACAAAACATATTTTACTATATGTGGTGTTTAGTGACCGTTAATCGATATTTATTTAGAAATCTTGAGATGCGGTCTGGTGTTATGTAGGTTTCAGAAAAACATTTTCTTTATCGTACCAACGTTTTGATCTTTATTGGAATACTTTGATTGAATATATAAAAAATATATTTTGCATTGTATAAATTCACTTTTCCACATCCAAAATGTAATTGTTATATGTAAACAATGTTTGTAATTCCCAGGCTCTTGAAGATGATCCCAATAAAGATCGAAACGTTGGCACGATAAAGAAAATGTTTTTCTGAAACCTACATCACTCTAGACCGCATCTCACGATTTCTAAATAAATATTTTACTATAACGGAACAAATAACAAGAAAATGCTATTCTTTCCCGAAAACGCTGTATGAAATGTTAGGAGAAAACCAAGAAAATATTGCTAAAATATTTAGTTTTTTGACAGCAGCAAATTTAATAAATAAAATATGTATAAAGGATTAAGTAAATATATGAATAAAAAGTAAATTAAATTACTGGTTGGATCGGAGCCATAGGCCAAAGTGCCGGGATAGTTCCTGTCCCTTAAAAGAAATATTTAATTTAAAAATATTTTCTAACAGTGGGTTCATTTTTTTGAGCAGTGAATCTAAATGCATTGAATAGATCGATTGTCAAATTATCGATATAATTGCACTAATTCATCCATTGTTACAAATTTGACCACGGAGGGGCACCCTTCATATTTTTCTCTAGCTTACAATTTCCAAACATAAGAATTTAAAACATCCGCTTTTCTTTTTTGTCCGACGTAATTTTTCTCCGGAAAATCCTATTTTCTGAATTGATTCTGTTTTTCTTATTTTGCGCATTTACGATCTTTCCCTCGGGCGGATGTTGGAAACTCTACTCGTGTTTATCCGGCAACACTGTTTTTCATCGAGACCATTGTTTTTCCATGTAGTCCTGTCCTCCTTGGAGATATTTTCGTTAGGCGAACTCTCGACAAGAGAAGAAAAATAAGAAAAACACAAGATAAAAAGACAAGACGAGCGGCTCGAAGAAATAAAATTCTGTGATGTTCGACCATCTGGCTTCCGTAAGGAAAGTGGAAAAAAGGTAAAAAAAACGGCCAGAAACTATACTATTATTTTGTATTAAATTATTCCTTTTCCGGTTATTGGGGACGGGGCCGAGGATCGCTTCCTAGGAAGTGTTCCTGATTTGACCCTCCCAAGGACGTCCTCGACGGAAATTTATTAACAAAACTGTATTGGTATTGTTTTTATTCTCGACAGATCGAAATGTCCGAGGACTTGAATCTACCAGAAAGCCTGGAGCGGCTGGAAATCAACCCGGAGAGGTGAGTCGTCGTTCCTTCATAAAAATAAACTCCCCCTTAGAAAAAAAAATGTTTTTATATTTTTTAAATTATATTTTCCTTTCTGCGTTTATAAGGCATGAGGGCAAATCGGATGAGAAAGTACAGCCAAAAGGCGATGACCCGGAGTGTTCGCTCGAGTTGCTCTCGCTCAACGCAGTCTGCCCGAAGGAGAGTTGCCAGTGTAACAAAAGGAAAGAAAGGTAACTGTGGTCATTCCGATACATATAAACACAATTTATCATATTATCAGTCAACAGTGAAGTCCGAAGTTATCCGATTGTAATAAACCCCTGTGTTATGCATGTCAAACTGCTTGTTGCCTTAACCTTTCAAGCCAAGATCAGTCGGTGTACTAGGGCAATTATTTATTCCTAGATATAATCCACATTATGTGTAAATATAAATTAAATCTGTGATTTTCAATTAAGAACATTTTAAAACAAAAGATCTTTCATGTTCGCATTGAAAATAATTCTAATGCGTTTTCCTCGAGCAATTTGGAAAAACCAAACTTGGATAGATAGAAACTTAGTTAATATTTTAAAAAAAAGTTGAACTTATGCGGATGTAACTAGTATTATACTAGAATCATACACTCAGTTTTCATGAGAACAAGAATGATTTGCAGATTGTTTAATTTATATAGTGCCAACTCTTTTCAATGTAGTTGTCATTACCGATCATTTTGGCGTGTAACTTCAGTGGTGGGTCTGGGTCTTTTATAAGTTTTACACTTTTTGTGAGTAGGTTACTCACTGTTATCTAATTCTTCTGTTAGTGTCTCTTTTGTATTTATCATATACTCTCTCGTTCACTCTTCCCTCTTTTGGCTATCTACTTCTTACTTTCATTTCTGGTCTCTCTTAGACTTTCTCTTCTGAATCATCTTTCACACGCACTCTCTCTCTATTTCTTTCTTTCTTTACTGCCTACTCATTCACAAGACTTCTTTAACAATCTTTTGAAATCTATCATCACTCACTCCTTCACTAGGTTTTTTAACCATTTTCTGAAGTCTATCCATCGCTCACTCTCCCCCCCCTCTCTCTCTGTCTCTCTCTTACTCTCGCTCACTCATTCACTAGGCTTTTCTAACCAACTGATGAAATCGTCCATCTGTCACTTTCCTTTTTTTTCTATAACTCAATTTTTCTATCTTTCTCTTTCTTCTTGCTCTCCTTCTCCCTCTTTTGAAATTATTTATCTTTCATGTTTCTTATCTCTCTTATTTTTCTAATGTCTCAGACTTTATTTCTCTCACTCTCACCCTTTCCACTCCTTTCTGGTCTCCTAGGTTATCTCTTTTTCTCGCTCTTGCCCCATCTCTCTTTAAAGTTTATTTCCTTCTGCAACCTTTTTTACTCTGTCATGCTTCCTCTTTCTTTTTACCTTGGTTTGTTTGACTCTATTTCCCTGTATGGGAAAAAAAACACAGTAAAATGTCAGTTACAGTGTTGCTATGTCCGTCTTGGCAACACAAAAGTCAGTTACATGTAAACACTGTATAAATTTTTCAGCCGCGACAGGGACAAGGCTGTGAAGCGGCTGGGACAAAAAAGGCCGATACTGCGGCGTAGCAAGCTGAGCCCTGCAGTGCTCAGGGCGCCAATACTCAAACTGCCGGCGGCCCACATTGAGCCTGTGAAGCACGCAGTCATACCTAATGTTGCAGGACCGTTGAAAGACACGAAAGCCCTCCGCACAAGATTTCAAACTGAACAAAACACGCCTTCTTGTTCCTCTGGAACGCCAACTTACAGGTAATTTCTTAATTTTTTTAAATTTATAGTTAGATCTATATTTTCTTTTTAACATCAACCCACTACAATTTAAATAAAGAAGAGATGGATCCAGATAGTCAATTTTTTTTTTTTGTTAAATAGAAATGCTGAGTATTACAACAGGATCGATACACTTCCTCCTGCCCTGAGAGCGCAAGGGATAACGCAAGAGTCGCTCAACCGGCTCCAGGGCGAGGTGCAACGTTCCAACTCGCAGAGCTGCTGCGCCGTCCAGGCAAGGATTGCCGCAGAGTCACCGCAGACCCAGTCGCCCACCATCGCTGATGACACCAACATAGACGAGCTTGCGAGCTACTTCGACCTGTTCGTCCACATACCGAAAAAGATGTCGCAGATGGCCGAAATGATGTACATATGAGGTTTTGTTTTCACCCCTCCCCCCCAAGTGAGAAGTCATCGTCGTCGCAACAGTTACGATTGACAAGGTGGACAGAATTATATTTTGTATATTGAATCTCCACCATTTTTTCTCTGACTGTCACTAACCATTGTATTAAAAAAAATTTCCGTTTATCTATTTTTTCTTTCTTAACTCTCTACTCTTAATATTTACATTTGTATAAATATATAATAAAAAAATTATATATAAATAAAACATGTTTAAAAAAGTTCTAATGTATAAATATTTATAGAATTTAAATATATTTAAATAAAAATTAAATTCCTTATTTTTCTTAACCAATTCAATGCGGGACTGAAATCCAAGACCATCACTCAGATTAGCACGACATTCTAATAAATAAGTTTTATGACTCATTTTTTGTACCGTTTTATACCACACTGGAGCCAACTTTACGCGGCGAAAGTCTTAGCAAGCAAACTCGCAACTCAATGCATTTTATCCAATTCACTTTGCATGATACAACTTTTCAGTCACGAATCTTTTAGATTATTCGTATTCTAAACCATTTCAAAACCTATTTTGACAACTTTTTCTTCACTAATGGGTGAATGAGGAAAAATATTTCCATGCTGAACAAAAAAAAAGAAGAAAAAAAATTGAAAAAACCTAAATACTTTTTAGGTAATTTTTTCTCTCTAATAGTTATCTAATTTTTACAAGTTATTAGTTAATTTTAATTTTTACAAAATGAATTTAAAAAATAAACAAAAAAATGATTTATTAAACAGCGTATTTGTAACAATAATTTTTTTGCTCATTTTAATTGTTTAAAATTAATTTAAAAAATAAAATTAAAAAAGAAATAAATAAAATTAAGTTAAAAAAATAAAAGTATTTACCATAAAAATAATAAATATTAACACATTTTTATTATTTGAATAATTTAAAATTTTTGTTTTTGCGCATTCCAAAAACCATGTTACCAAATTAAGAAAAAATATAAATAAAATTAAATAAAAATACAAAAAACAATGAAACTATTTACAATAAGAATAATCAATATTAACATATTTTGTATTCACTAGTTTTTGTGGTCCGCTTGACCAATCAATATCTTTCAATTAATTAAGGTTTTTAGTTGGGATAAAAAAGTCAGTGTCACGAGTGGGATTCGAACCCACAACCTTCGGCTTGATACGCCGCTACTGTACCACCTGAGGATTGTGACTTCGACTTTTTATCATTTAAAACTCATAATTAATGAAAGATATTAATTGGCCAAGCAGACCACAAAAACTAGTGAATTTAATTAGTTAAAATGAAGTATATCTTCACTAAAGCTCTCCATGGCCATTTAATTTGTTGCTGAGAATCAAATAGATTACACGACATTTGAAAAATAGCAAAAAGGAGGGAAAATTCAAAAGGTGGGGTTGAGATGGAAACTAAGTGTCCAAGATGATCGAGGTAGCTCAAGTGGTAGAGCAGGAGCGTATCAAGTCGTGGGTTCGAATCCCGTTCGTGACACTGACTTTTTTATCTCAACTAAAAACCGTAATTAATTGAATGATATTTTTTATTATTGGAACGATTTAAAAATTTTGTTTTGTGAAATTCCAAAAACCGTGTTGGAAAGCACAGCACGGTTTGTCGCAGCACCCCATGCAGTAAGTGTTTACTTCCAAATGGTTCCGGCTGTGGTAATTCCGGAAAAAAAATTACAATTTTTGCCAAATATAGGAAAATAAGAATATAAATTTTAATTTCAAAAAACTGAGATGCAGGTGATGAATTTTGTAAAAAGATATTTACCTGTGTCATTCTGACTTCCTTCTATATACTTTGTCAAAGTTGGTTTCCAACAATATTGAGACAATTTTTTAAAAATATTTTATTTTATTTATTGCTATCTGTACTAAATATACATTGATTAAATAGTTTAGTTATATATAAATTTGAGAGATGTCAAACCAGGAGGCAGTGGGGAGAAAAATCAACCAGTGCTTGAACTCTCTTTTATTTAATTTGGTGGGTTAAGACAGAAGGTCAGAGACAAAATAGGTAAGTTAAAAAATCTTTCATGTAGAAGAGAAACAATTAAATTTTTTTCTTCTAGTTACTAAAACTTAAAACAAATAATAGTTTTATGTACTGATAAACTTAAATATTACTTAAAAGAAAGGTTACACTTGCTGAAAAAGAGCAGATGTGAGTTTGTAGAGCTATCTAGTTGTTTAAGGTTAGAGTTGGAAATAACGCTCACAATAAGATAGTCCAGGCAGTTCTGAAATGTCAAGCGCTACGGGGGATTTATATATTTCTAACTAAAATAGGGGAAAAAAACTGGTGTTTCAAAGAGAGGCTTGACTCCACTGTGGGGTCACCTGTATCTGGCGAGATTCCAGCTCGACTCCACTGTGGAGCACCTGTATCTGGCAAGATTCCGGCTCGACTCCACTGTGGGGTCACCTGTATCTGGCAAGATTCCGGCTTCATTCCACTGTGGGGTCAAACGTATCCAGCAAGATTCCAGCTTGACTCCACTGTGGGGTCACCTGTATCTGGCGAGATTCTGGCGTGACTCCAATGTGGGATCACCCGAATCGGATGAGATTCCAGCTTGACTCCATTGTGGGGTCACCAGTATCTGGCGAGATTCCGGCTTGACTCCACTGTGGGGTCACCTGTATCTGGCAAGATTCCGGCTCGACTCCAATGTGGGGTCAATGTATCCAGCGAGATTCCGGCTCGACTCTACTGTGGGGCACCTGTATCTGGCGAGATTCCGGCTCGACTCCAATGTGGGGTCAATGTATCCAGCGAGATTCCGGCTCGACTCTACTGTGGGGCACCTGTATCTGGCGAGATTCTGGCTTGACTCCACTGTGGAATCACCCGAATCTGATGTGATTCCAGCTTGACTCCACTGTGGAGCACCTGTATCTGGCAAGATTCCGGCTCGACTCCACTGTGGGGTCATCTGCATCTGGCAAAATTCCGGCTCGACTCTACTGTGGGGCACCTTATCTGGCGAGATTCTGGCTTGACTCCACTGTGGGGTCATCTGTATCTGGCAAGATTCCGGCTCGACTCTACGTGGGGCACCTTATCTGGCGAGATTCTGGCTTGACTCCACTGTGGGGCACCTGTATCTGGCGAGATTCTGGCTTGAATCCACTGTGGGGCACCTGTATCTGGCGAGATTCTGGCTTGAATCCACTGTGGGATCACCCGAATCTGATGTGATTCCAGCTTGACTCCACTGTGGGGCACCTGTATCTGGCGAGATTCTGGCTTGACTCCACTGTGGGGTCAATGTATCCAGAGATATTCCAGCAGGAGATTAGGTAAAAAAACAAAACAATGTAAGTGCAAGTTTGTAGTAACACTTTTCCACTTTATCTCTGTCACACTCACTTTGAACCTCTATGCTTTCACATACATTTATTATTTAGTCCTCCACACCTACCTGTCACTTTGTACTACAATGCCCCCCACTTATACATAACGGTGAACACTACCTCTGTGCAGTTCTCAGTTTATAATCGCAAATATCATAACACTCTCTTTCCCAAGAGGACAAGGATCGGGAAATCGAATCAGAATAAAAATACAGTGTTTTTTTGAATGTTTTTTTATGCAAATTCACATTAATTTTTTTTATATTTTTTTAATATCAATCTGTTGGTAATCAGCAATATAAACAACCATCAACTATTTACAAAAGATACAAAGGTTGCCGCTAGAGCAGGCCGATAGACAAAACACTGCCCTTAATTTATTTTTTTAATTTTCTTAAAATTTTATTTACTCTTTTTTTATCCTTTAAAAAATAAACATAATATAAAAAAAGACGATTAATCGCTCCTTCTAAACAGGAGCGGAGGAAAAAAAGAAAACATCTTTCTCACTTTGTCTTTTTCTCCACTATTTTTTAAAAAAATCTACAGAGAATGGAGATGCTAAAGACTATATTAATTTATATATATTTATATATATATCTTTTCTGAAGAGATTTTTTTTTAATGCGCGGTTATTTGGACGTTTGAAACTTTCTTTCGTTTTTACAGGGGACGGTGCGTTTTCTAAAATTTAATAAAGAAAAAAAGCTAGTGCTCTTTTGATTTTTTTTTTGTTTTGGTTTTCTTTTTTTTTTATAAAGATTGGGGTCAGTTTTTTTTATATCTTCTTCTAAATTTCTTTTCATTTTCCTTGATAATAAAGGTCTCTATTTTAACTTTTATTAAACGTTTCGAAGTCGATTTGGCACATTGAGTCCACTCTCGTGGCTTCGTGGGCTTCGGTGTCACCGCCTTGCGTATCTGGCATTCACGACTTGTTCCCCAGGGCCCACATCTCTGCCTCGAGCGTCACACCTTCAACACTGAATATTGAAGCTTCTGCAAATTGTTTCAAAAAAGGGAAATTTTAGAAAACTGTATGTTAGTAATTTAAATTTTTTTTTACCATCGGGTAATTCGTAGAGCTTTTTAGGAAGTGAGGCGAAGTATTTGTGCCTCAGGGCGTCCTCGGCGCCTATCCTCTTGTCCGGGTTGAGCTGTAACATGTTCATACAAATCGTACTTTTTCTTTTCAATATTAACTCAATATCACAAACCTGAAGAAGGGAAGACGCCATATTCTCGCCTTCGGTGATGTCGTAAAGCCTTGGAAATGCCAGGCCGAGCTTTTTACCCTTGTAGGCGATTATCTTGTGTGACGAGTATCCCGGGAGGTGGCTCACACCTTCCCAAGTATCTTCCGCAGGGGTTCCTAGGATCTGTAAATAGAAAAAGTTCAGAACACTTAGCTCTGTCGAACTGAAAAAAAAAGAAAGAAAAAAATACCTTGAATATCTTGTCCAGTTGGTCATAGACCTCCCTGACACCTGGGAAGGTCGGCACTCCTGTGATCATCTCGAGGAAGATGCAGCCAACACCCCACATGTCTAATGATGTTGAATACTGCGTCGAGCCCAGGAGGACGTCCGGTGGCCGGTACCAAAGAGTCACGACTTCGTGTGAATATGTATGTGACGGTACTGATTTGGCACGTGCTAAACCTATTTATATATATAAAAAAAGAAATATTAAAACATTAAAAAAATTACTACTACAATGATACCAACCAAAATCGGCTAATTTGAGTTCCCCTATTTCGGAGATGAGCAAGTTTTGCGGTTTGACGTCTCTGTGCAAGACCCTCCGCCTGTGGCAGTACGCCAGGCCACGAAGCAGCTGGAAAAGTAGCAGTTTGACGTTCGAATATTTAAGGCCGCCTGGGTGACGTTCCATATATTGAGATAAATCCGTATGCTAGGGTGAAAAAAAAAATTAAAAACCAGATAACTAAAAAAAATGCCAAAAAACTTACGACATATTCAAAAACAAAGGTTAAAGTGTGGCGTGTGTGCACTATGTCGTGTAGTGTGACTATATTGCAGTGTTTCAGTTCTTTTAAAAGCGACGCTTCCCTTATAGCGGTAAAAGGGGCTCCTTCCTCCTCCTGAAGTCTTATCTCTTTAAGCGCTACGATTTGTTTTGTCAGGCTAAAAACAGAAAAAAGAAAATAAATAAAAAACATTTTTTTTTAGTTGAAAATAATTACACATACTTGCTATAACCCTTGAAGACAGTCGCGTACGACCCTTCGCCCAGTTGCTCCAACTTCACATAAGCGTCGGATTTGCCAAAAGGCGAGTCGCCCTGAAATATGAAAAGGATGTAAATCTGCAATCAATCGTGGAAATTGTACAAAATTTGCTTAGCCACGGCTACTGCGATGTCATTGGACAATTGAAACCAGGTTAGCCAATGGCCATAATCAAGTCATGAAAAAAAACAACTATAGCAACATAGGCATCTTGAACAACCAATTTGATCACCCCCTCTTTCATAACATTGGTCAATTTTATAAATGATGGGGTGAGTGTGGAGTTCAATCCTTTTTAAAAAAGATGGTTCCTACTCACAATACGTTGTTTCGCAACAATCCGGATTTCGAGCCCTTTAGCTCATCGTCAGGTTGAAGGGTTTCTACAGACACGTCTCTCGACATGAATTGCAGAAGTGCAAGTGTACTTATAAGTATAGTATAGTAGTAGTAAGAATAATAAGTATAGTATTTAAGTGTACTATACTTGTAAGTACACTTGCACTTCTGCAATTCATGTCGAGAGAAGTGTTTGTAGAAACCCTTCAACCTGATGATAAGCTAAAGGGCTCGAAATCCGGATTGTTGCGAAACAACTTATTGTGAGTAGGAACCATATTTTTTAAAAAGGATTGGTCAATTTTTAGACCAGATTATCAATTAACCTACTAATGACCAATTTACAACTAATTTAGTAAAGTTCATATGAAGCCATTGGGCAAACAATTGAGTCATACCTACTTTGACGTCATTTAACAACTAACCTAATGACTTCCACTTTGATATCAGTCAGCCAAATAATTGAGCCAAACCTCCTTTGATGTCATTGAACTACTAATATAGTGACTTCCACTTGGTCGTCATTGAATTACTAATATAGTGACTTCCACTTGGTCGTCATTGAACTACTAATATAGTGACTTCCACTTGGTCGTCATTGAACAATTAAGCACTTAGGTAAACCAAGCATACTTAAGCATAAAAGTGAGCAACGCCTCCTTTGATGTCATTTAACAACTAACCTAATGGCTCCCACTTCGATGCTATTGGAGACACCACTGAGCCACGCCTACTTTGATGTCTTTCACAACTAACCTAGTGACTGCTACTTGGACGTCATTGAACAATTAAGCACGTAGGTAAACCATGCATAGTTCGACACTATTGATCATAAAAGTGGGCAATGCCTCCATCGATGCCATTTAACAACTAATCTACTGACTTCCACTTGGACGCCATTGAACAATTAAGCACTTAGGCAAACCATGCATACTTTGACGCTATTAATCATAAAAGTGAGCAACGCCTCCTTTGATGTCATTTAACAACTAACCTAGTGGCTCCCACTTAGACGCTATTGGAGATACCATTGAGCCACGCCTACTTTGATGTCTTTCACAACTAATCTAGTGACTGCTACTTGGACGTCATTGAACAATTAAGCACGTAGGTAAACCATGCATAGTTCGACACTATTGATCATAAAAGTGGGCAAGCATCCATTGATGTCAATTAACAGCTAATCTACTGACTTCCTCTTGGACGTCATTGAACAATTAAGCACTTAGGTAAACCAAACATACTTTGACGTATTGAATATACAAGTAAGCAACACCTCCTTTGACATCATTTAACAACTAACCAAGTGACCACTTTGACATTATTGGACCATACATACCATTGAACCACGCCTACTTGACGCTATTGGGCGACAATAGAGCCACGCCTACTTTGACGTCATTTAACTACTAACCTAGTAACTTCCACTTGGACTTCATTGAACAATTAACCACTTAGATAAACCACGCTCACTTTGATGTCATTGGGCAAACAAGTGAGTCACGACTAATTTTACGTCATTGAAACACTACCTAGTAATGCCACTTGAACAACTAGGCAAACCATGCCTATTTCGACGTCTTTTACCAACCTGCTTAACCACGTCCACATAGGTTTTTGAAAAACTAACCTAGGATGTACGTTTTAACGTACATACAAGCAATTTAATCGTCATTGTGTGTTATTAATCACTAATAGCTCAGCCAACTTTGAGTGTATAATTGAGCTTGACTTAGACGACATTAGATATCAGTTCGAACACACCCAATCTGTTTATGGGGGGCCATTTTGACGTTATTCGATGATTGAATAACTTAGCCAAGGAAACTTTTAAGCCACGCCCATTTTGACGTTATTTGCCCATTACGAGACTAACGGCACGGATAATCTGCAATGTTCCCTCCACAATTCCAAAGGGTTGTTTCTTCTTCACGGTTCGACTTGTTCTCGAGGGCCGCCGAGTGGGGCAAAGCAACAATTTAAGTCGATGGCACTCCAAGTCACTAATGACGATTCCGCTCCTCGAAGGAAGAGTTCTCGAGGGGCCTCTTCCGCCTTCCGCCACCGCCTCCGCCAGTTAAACACACTTTGATTCGAACTTGGATTAATTCGACCCGACGCTAATGACATTTGCAGTTTTCCGTTTAACTTAGCCGGTACACGACTTTTACAATATTTAGAGAAAACTTCATCATGAAGGTTAAACCGTAAAAAATGTGGAAAATTATCGAAAGTGGCTGCATTGTGGATAAATAACCGATATGTCGGACGCATAGTCAATGGACATGGTTGGGGATGAAAGGAGATGGGTAAGCAAGCCATGTCCTAATTTGACGACCTTGTCCAACCATCCTATCTAATCCTTGAAGTCTACTATGGCATATATCATTTGACCCCTTCCCCCTGTCACTCAATACGTATTTGGGTGGTAAATATTTACCCCCGTGGCATAACCACGTTATTCCACTCACCCCGAAGGCGGAGAACCTCTTTGTCCTCCTCCTGCTCTGCTGCTGGTCCTTATTGCAGAGGAAGACTTCCGACTTGGGCCGGGGGGGTTTCTTCGGCCTCAGTATGACCCGGGTCTCCTCGTTGATGTCCTCGTCGAGGAGTTTCGAGTCCGAGGAGACGGACAGCTGCCTCTTCACCGTCTCCCTCTCGAGGCCGTCCCAACCGGCGCACACGGCTCGGCAATCTGTAACGAAATCTGAATTTAATTAATAAAGTTGGCCCTCTTCGGGCGGCGTGGGCGGACGGATAAAAGGAAAGAGGAAGGGAGAAAAGAAAAAAAAGGTCCGATTGTGGTGATTCGTATCAAGTCCCTTCATCCCTTCAGGCAGACCTTCTTCCCCTATCCTTCCGTCCGCTCGGTTAAGCGCCAAGCGAGCAGGAAGTCGGACGAATAATATAAAGATAATTTAACCCAGCATCACATCGGTGACAACTCGGGTGTGACAACGCTTATTCTCAGGGCCGATAAGGGATTTTCGCCTCGATATGCAAACTTTCCTCAACTTCGCCCCTCCAAGAAGCTTTTCGCCTCTCCCTCGGTCTAAGCACAACGGAATAATAGCTAAGCCTGGAAAAGCTCACCATGGCCATTCCTTTTTAAAAATTACGAACAAGTCCGAGAAACTGCCAGTCAACTTCAATTTCCCCAAAGATCTCACGGGGTAGAAAGGCACACAAAAAATAAAAATATCAATATTTCGAACAAAATTTTTGTTTACAATGATATCGCACATACAATATTGACAATATAGATAATATATACCAACAACATTTCTATTTTGTTGAAGAGCGCTAGCGGTTCTGGGTTCGAATCTCAGCAGAGCCCATGGGTTTTTAATGGATTACTACAGCATGAACAATGTATTGTAAAGCGGTTTGACCCTTCGTCCGCGACAGCCAACCGCGTCCCGTTATGCCCTCCTGTATGATACCAAATAATTAAAAAAAAGGATAATTGATATACTGTCAACACAAAACTAGGCATAGAGAACATTGAACGAAAGTGGATGATGGACATAAGAGACAGGAACCACCAAGGGCTCCAATCCAGCCGGGCCGACGCTCCAATTATTTTATTTACTAAATTGGCTCCTATTAAAAAGCTGAATAATTTGGCAATTTTTCTTGATTGTCTTCTAACATTTCATACAGCGTTTACGGGAGAGAATAAAATTTTCTTAAGTATGATATATGCTCCAGGATAGAAAAATATGTTTTGTTGTTATTATTCCATTGCGTACACCGCATACATGCAGAGGGTCACGGGCCATTAAGTGGCCTTGGTGGTCCGGCAATGTCCTATTCTCAACCTCAATCCAACCTCCTTCCTTCTCTTCAACCTAAACGATGAAGAACATGCCTTTGTGGTTGACTTGATTTGACGAAGCTTATTGTTCGTAACTGAATCCTAGGTTTTTTGCCATTGTAAATATATTTTGTCCCTAAAGGCCGCAATGAGGTCATCCTTGCTCACGTTCACAACAATGTTTCCATCTCCAACTGCCTCCTTGCTCTCTCATTACCAGGGATACCCGACTGATCAGGAATCCAGAGAAAAATTCTCGTTCCCGTTGCTACTCAAGACGTCTCAAATGAGTTGTATCATAGGGTTTTGCTGAAAGGGTGATGTTTGCAGCCATGGAGTCAGAGCAAATAAGGTTATAAGATGGAAGGATAATGTTGATGGATTTATTTATGGCTATCATTTCGGTTCTTTAGTTGCTTTCTAGGGGATTTAGTGAGGGCAGTCGTTTGTGCTTTTTTGAAACTCCTGTTTGTATATGTTGTCAAGAGTGGTGGATTTATTATATTTCGCCAGTGATAGTGGAATAGGGTTGGGTAAAAGGCAGGGGGAAAATCGATTTGGTTTCTTTTTGGATTGGGAGCACTGAAAACTGCATAACCTGTAGGAGCAAAAAAATCTTTCAAAGAAAGGTATAGATTTGGTATCCTGATAATTAGAATAAGAATTAATGTTAGAAAAGAGATTATTAGAGGGAGAGTAGGAGTATAATACTATAACTGACAAGCAAGCATAGCCACGGCCTGTCTGACGTGTGAAATCTCCAATCTGATTTTTCACAACAATCCAGACAGTGTTATAAAGAGTCATATGCGTTCAATGTACAGAGGCACAGGGGGTGAACTTTCATCAGGGATAACCAGCCGCCCAACCCCCAACAAGTTACGGGTGGAGTTAATCACGTATCCAGTTTCGGATTTAATTAATCCGCTAGCTAATCGTTCCAAATCAAGTCGTGAAGGATTGCCAGCCATCCGTCCTTCGGCCTTTTAACGAGCGGCTCTCGGGTTGAACGGAGCTCTTCGTTGAAAATCAATCATAAAACACTCGATGTAGCAAGAAACGCCTGGTACAAGCACGCCCTCCGGCAACAGTGAATCAAAATACTCTAGAACCGTCCTACTATCGTAATTTTAACTTTCGTCTAATATTCCAGGCAATCTTCTATATAAAAATACACAAAAAGGAAGGAAATGGGGGGGGGGTTCAAATGTAAGAGCAACTCACCGATAGTCCCGCTTCTTTTGAGCTTGTCTGAAACAAAAAAACAAAGCAAAACAGTGTTAACACTTGCTTGGATAAATACAATAAGGGTGTACAATGGTTCATTCTTTTCGGAGGGATGAATTGGGGTGTTAGCATAAAGGGGTGGGAGCTAAGAGTGTAGGTAACGAGTGGGGACGTATTGTGATTTGGTCGAGCCCTCTCATAGTATATATGCTAATCCATCATGGGCGGAGGCGAGGAGGAGGCTACATATTCATGCTATTCGCTCTGCCCCCTCGATTGTTAATTCTGACAATTGCTTTCGAAGCAAGGGACTGTTGATTTATTTGTAAAAAACAGGGTTGAGAAATCCCCTCGAGATGTGATACGATGGCGTCATGGCGACCAGGTTCATGCCTTCTTGAGTATAACCTCCAAGGGATGAGCATCGATGGTAGGCAACCGTTATTTGATGTTTTCAACATCGATGTTACTCCGTCCGTTGTTTGACCACGTATGTGAATAGGTTAGGAGTGTTCAATTTGTTGCCTTAGTTGGCTGGTTAAAGCTACTTTTAGTTAATTCTGTCTCGGAGAAGATGTGGTAGTGTTTCGTTGTAAAATTTGGATAAATTAATTTAAATTAAAGAAATGGCTGATTTTGGTTACGTATATATTAAATCTTTACCTAGTTTTTTTTTATTTTTTTTTTTTTTTTAATTTAAAACATGGGACAGAAATTGGGTCGATTATGGATGTTTTCCAAAGTAATGCTGGACGAAGAAAAAAGAGGGAGGCATTATGAATATAATTCACCGGCACAAAATACTTTAAAAATCGACGTCTATTATCCAAAAGGAACCTAGAGATCTATATATAACTATAAATGGACCAGACGGAAAAAAAAGCAAGGACCATCGATGCATAAACTGTAGAGTCGATCTTTGTACCACCATCGATATTGAGGTTCCGATGTTTAATCGATAGTGACAATCGATGTATAGACTGTAGTCGATGGTTGTACCACCAGCGATGGTTACGCTCCAATGTTTAATCGATGGTGACCATCGATGTGTAGACTCGATGTACCACCATCGATGTTTTTCTACCCATGCTCATCCCGGATCTCGGTAACGATGGAAGACCCTTCGGACAGTTGTTCTGGGAATGTTAATATTTAATTAATAAGCTGCTATAAGTTAGTAAGCCTTCTTCCAAATGCTACGATTCTAGCCTAATCACTAAATCACTTAAAAGCATAACTCAAACAGATTTTATACTTAAAAATGGTACAACTTAAAAAAAAATCAAACCACCGTAATGTTAGAAAGAAGTTCTACAGAAAAACCAACAAAGAAGAATATTCAAAGATTTATACACAAAATCCAATTGTAAACACAAGAGGGAGATTTTATCTGTTTTATTTACCTCTAATCCTTTAAAACTCGCCAAATATTGATGTAAGATAATCAATGGAGGATTGAATGAGAGATATTTAAAAATATTAAGGTGGCCACTTTTTTTGCCTCTGATTGTATATCGCACTATTTTAACTGACCCCATTTAAATAATAATCTGCGCTGAAGTTGCCCGAAGGATTTAGTTGATTTTAAGCCGTTTATCCGATCCAGTTGATGAATTGTCCATGCCAGAAAAAACGGAAGAAAAAACTCGACCTTTTAACAGTCCGAAGCGTTGCAGTTCCTCAGCCTTTCTCCGCAGCCCATTTTTCAACCAGTCCGAATGGCAAATATTTTACGAGGCCGTTATTAGAATCCCCGGGGTGTTTCTTGGGCGGATTATTAATCGTTCCGATTAATTAGGCTGAGGGTCACCCCCTTTCTTGCGAATTAGGGCTCTCTTTAAATCTGCAACTGCATTCATCCCGTTTCCTCCATTCCCCAAGGGACGGAGGCAGACAGGAGGAGCGTTTCAACAAACCTTGAAAGTCAAGGGCGATTGATAATCTTTGATCTAGCCCAACTCGCCTTTTTTTAAACAAATCTTCCGACTTTTTCTTTCTTAAACTTCTTTTATGAAAGGTCGAGGGGTGTTTTGCCTGTTAGCACGCCCGTTATCCCGGATTATCTGTGCAACCCCCGTGGGCTTCCCATTTTCCTGAGCAACTATCGGCCCTTTGACCTTCGCGTGACCGGCGGACCCATCGCGTCACGCGACCAGGACCGTCTGATGCATCCCTCCCCCCTTGGGTTATATTAAACCATCGGTTATTTCTGATAAGAAACGGCCGCCTGGCCTTCCCTGGGGAAATTTGACGATTCATTCTTACGTTTGACACGTGTGCATCGGGCACAACCCCCCACACTATGAAAAGATCAAACATGAAAACATATGAATATAAAGCGGATCATGATGTTGAAAAGGAAAATAAAAAATAGCTTTATGCACATTGCAGATTGGCTTGAGCAACATTAAGATGGATTTGCCATGTAGGTAGATCGATTGTCCAATGACATCATCATGCACGCGACTAATAACAGATGTCATTTCAATCATCTTAGCCACGCCCACTTTGACGTCATGAACCAACTGAATAACCAGCTTAGGTCACGCCTACTGTGACGTAATATACAAACAAGTTGAACCACTTTCACTTATTTAGACAAAATATCAGCCCTCTTTGACGTCATGGGCGAACTGTATAAACAGCTTATATCACGCCTACTGTGACGTAATATACAAACAAGGAGAATTGCCTAAGAGATATTTAAAAATATTATGGGTAGCCCCTTTCTTGCCTCTGAGTGTAGATTGTACTATTTTAAGTGACCCCCCCCCATCTTTAAATAATCATTCGCGCTGAATATAGCCGAAGGATTTAGTTGATTTTAAGCCGTTAACCCGATCCAGTTTCAATCATCTCAGCCACGCCCACATTTACGTCATTGCAATGTGGACAAATCAGCCCTCTTCGACGTCATGAACAAACTGAATAACCAGCTTAGGTCACGCCTACTATGACGTAATATACAACCAAGTTTAGCCACTTTGACTTATTTAGACAAATTAGCCCTCTTTGACGTCATTAACTAACTGAATAACTAGCTTAGATCACGACTACCGTGACATAATATACAACCAAGTTTAGCCAGTTTGACTTATTTAGACAAATCAGCCTTCTTTGACGTCATCAGCCAACTGAATAACCAGCTTAGGTCATGCCTACTGTGACGTAATATACAACCAAGTTTAGCCACTTTGACTTATTTAGACAAATTAGCCCTCACTTTGACGTCATTATGGAGTAGACAAATCCACCAATTTGAAGTCATTAGCTAACTGATAAAACTAGTTAACGCCGGCCTACATTGACCGTTAATGAACAACAAACGTTAATTCGCGCGTGTCTCAGAAATGGATTGGATGAATTCACGAATTGTGACGTTTAGGCAGTTGTTTGAGTTTCTCATGAACTCCTTTAAAACAGAACATGACAGATGATAGTTTTCTTCTACTAGAAAAAAATCCCGTCACAAGAAGTGGTCAAAGCATGTGTTAAAATAATAAATAAATTATTAGTGATCAAAATTTATAAAAAACAAAGTAGACCGCTTTGTAGGAGAAGGCTTTAGGTATCGGATCGTTTTCGCGTCTCAGATGGATTTGCTGATCGAACTGACTCACTACATCCGTCTCAACCTTCCTTTGATGTCCTACAAGCTGAAAGTGGTCGTCTACATCGCCACTCTGCTCAACAACACGCCTTTCGAGTACATCGACGACATTGACCCCAACGATTTCGAGGAGCTCACCGAGTCGGATAACCTATTCCTGGGCCAGGAAGAAGAATAAATTGTTTTTTGAAAGGAACCGAGACTAAATTATTTCTCGGGGCGACCCCTCGCCCCTTGCACCCCGCCCACCGTTTTTAATAAAACCCGGAACGGCCTCGTAAAAGCATTATGAAGCCGTCAGAGTGCTCGAGGAATTTTTACTGCCGGCTGTTATAAGGCTTGTTTCTCCCCACGAGGGTCCGGGCGGTGTCGAATCGTCCGGGCTTCGAGCAGCTCTTTCTTCTCGTGCCAAAATCAATCACTTCCGATCACCATAAAACGATAATGAGACCGCCCACATAGGGGGTAGAAGCATAATGGGGAACGAAAGGAAGTACATAAACCATAACGGGATCGTAGTTACCTTTTAGTAACATCAGGTACGACAAACCTAAAACATAGTGAACGAACTATCACCTAACGTCACTTAAACACGTCATAAAGGTATTAAAAAATTTCGACAATGGGCGCGGTTTCTAAACATTTTGGTGGGGGGGGTTGTAGAACAAAGTGGTAATGCGACAAGCCCAATATGACGCCATTGTCCATTAAAACATCCAGTCCGCGTTGACACCATTGGGCCCTTCGACAACAAATTAAGCCACGCCTATTTTAACGTCACTGGGCAAACTAGTTTAACCACGCCCACTTTGACGTCACTAGACAATCTAGTTTATCCAAGCCCCCTTTGACGTCAATAGACAAATAAGTATAACCATGCTAACTTTGAGATCATTGAACAAATAACCAATGAGATTGGCCGCGAATCTCTATTAGTTACTAGTCAGATTACTATCGTCAAAATTAACGTCATTAAACCCAAAATAATAAACCTAACTACGCGCATATTGATAAGCTCAGGTTTTCTTAGTAGGTCTCCACATTTAAACACTCTATGATTAGCTATGCCTATATTGACGACATTAAACGATAGACCACAGAGCCCAGTTTGGCACGTCCATGTTTACAGCGTCATTACGAGAGGCAGACCACATGATAACTCGCATACCGTACCGTTCAACCATCCGTGGCGACAAACAAGCATTTTATAGGAATATCTTTAAGGAATGGTTGTAAAAATGGTTTAAAGGGGTTACTCAATTGGAAGGAACAGATGCTCCTACTTAATGATTCCCGGCGATATTCTGTTTTTTCAGCAATGATGGTGATGGGGGGATTATTAATTTCCACCCTGTGGGTAATTTCAGGAGGTCCATTTTTCCGACCTCTCCCCTTCCCGAAAAGGCATCGGAAACAAATCACGAGGGGTTGAGAAATGAAACGGACACAGCAACGGATTAAATGCAAATTACACTTCCGGTGCTTTGAAAATAGAAGCTATCCTCGGCCCTTTTGCAAAATGGGTACAAGAATTTCTCGTGGTTATGAACACAAAAACCTAATGTTTTAAACAAACTGCAAGAATTGATGGATAATAATGACATTTATGTATAGGATATCTCATATATGATCAAATAAGTTAACGTTAAGACAACCGACAGGACAGTACTCGTTTAATTTATTGATAAACACACTTAGCAACGCCCACTTTGACGTCATTAGAAGGTAGACCAATAAGACACATTTTATTAATTGGTCACTACTCTAACCCACGCTCACTTTGACGTCCTTAGTCGATACTTACAAGTTGAAAAATTACAGTATATTTTTAAATGAAGCTAACACTTCCGGAGCTTTGAAAATACAAGCTATCCTTTTGCAAAATGGGTTTTGAGAATTTATCGTGGCTATAAAATCAAAAACCTAATGTTTTAAACAAACAGCGAGAATTGGCGGATCGATAATGATCACTTATGATATCATGTGCACGATATCTCATATATGATGACAGCCGACAGGACAGTATACGTTTAATTATTTGATAAACGCACTTAGCCACTCCCACTTTGATGTCATTGTACGGTAGACCAATAAGATACATTTAATTAATTGGCAACTACTCTAAGCCACGCCCACTTTGATGTCATTGTACGGTAGACCAATAAGATACATTTAATTAATTGGCAACTACTCTAAGCCTCGCCCACTTTGACGTCATTGTACGGTAGACCAATAAGATACATTTAATTAAGTAAGTGGTCCCCACTATAAGCCAAGCACACTTTGACGTCATTAGTCGATGCTTAGAGGTTGAAAAATTACCGTATATTTTTAAATGCAGCTGACACTTCCAGAGCTATGAAAAAAATCGATCCTTGGCCCTTCTTGTAGCCGTTATAGGTTATACATTAACTTTAAAAATAAATAAAATGAATAACTTTTTCAATTTTTTTTGTTTTTAAATAAATAGCGAGCACAGACGGATCAATAATGATCACCACTGATCAGATCAGAGAGTCGTGAAGCGTTCCACTCCCTGATTGCTTGCCGTGTGGAATTCGTTCTTCCCTTTTAGGAATTGGAAGCAAATCATATCCCCGCGGCCCGTTTAGCAATCCTTGGTTAGGGTGGTGGAGGGCGCAAATTGCTCGCCAACCCCCATTTGTCGTCCTGCGAATCCCGGTTCCGCGAGGGCGTGAAAAGCCACGGCATTTCACTCAGGAAGGAATAGCAAAGAGGGGAAAAAAGGCGGAGGTTTCTTGTAAAATTCGACATTCGAAACAGCTTAAGCGGTCGAAAGTTTTGTTTTAATTATGCGACAAGCTTTTTCTCTTACGTTTTCTTTACTCTTCCAAAGCTCAATTCCGACCCAGTGTAAATTTTAATTAAATCTCGTAATTAACAGTTCAATTCTTGGCTTTTTCACCCCCTCCCACCAACCCTTGGCCACTTAATTTGTATTCCGCAGGTTTTCTTCGGACGTTAAATGCTAATTTGTCCACCCCTCGAGGATCTCGCAAGAAGGTTTTTAACAACTACTTAAAACGTGCAACTCCATCTGAAAAAAGCCCAGGGGTTTTAACCGTCTCACGAGGACAACTTTATTTCCTACCGGAAATGGAACTAAAAGCTTTTTGAATTTATCTAAACAATAAATGACATAGATGATAATATCGATTCCTTTCCGTCATCTATGCTATCGATAATGACTCCAACAATGCCTCATCTATTTTTTATCCAATTAATAAAACGATAAGGCAATGCTTTTTTATCAAAGGGATTTTTTTACAGGGTGTTCGGCTACTCGTGTTACAAACTTTGCCAGTAGATTCTACTGATAGATTGTCCAAATCTAGACAGTTTAGGAGTTCCCCTTTTTTTCTGATTTTCTTAAGATTTCATGATCTTGCTTCAAATAAGCAATAACTCCAAAACTAAAAGTTTTGGACAAATCCGCTGATACCATTGAAAACTACGTTAAATTTCCAATAATTTGTGATAAATACTAAACTTATGAACTTTCGGGAAATAAGCGTTTTAGTAGCCAGAACTTGGAAAAATATTTTTTTTTTTCAAAGTTGCAAAACTTACTACGGTGATACTTTAACAACTATTTCCAAAACTAGAGGCCAGCAAATTTCATAAAAAGTACACCATTTAAATTTAATATATTACATTTCAATTTAATATATAATTTCAATTAATTATTCTTTTTAGTCCCGCTCGTGACCCTGAATTTTTCATCACAACCAAGACAAAAAGAATAATTAATTGAAATAAGTAATTTGGTCCATTAGATCACGAAACATAAACGGATTAACATACAATATTTACTATATTAAATTAATCATTTTTAATTATCTTTTATAGTGGTGTAATTGATTTTTAATTAGATTTTTCAAAGATGAAGATATTGACCTTACATAAAAAGAATAATTAATTGAAATAAGTAATTTGGTCAATTAGACCACTAAACATAAACGGATTAACATACAATATTTACTATATTAAATTAATCATTTTTAATTATCTTTTATAGTGGTGTAATTGATTTTTAATTAGTTTTTTCAAAGATGAAGATATTGAATTTACTTAAAAAGAATAATTAATTGAAAGAAGTAATTTGGTCAATTAGATCACTAAACATAAACGGATTAACATACAATATTTACTATATTAAATTAATCATTTTTAATTATCTTTTTAGTGGTGTAATTGATTTTTTATTTACTTTTTTCAAATATGAAAATATTGCTAAGGGAAAGGAAAAAACCGTGGTTGACGGATTGATAAGGTGGAAAAAAAATTGAAAAATTGTGAAAAAAAAATTATTTCCTTAACCATCCCTATTTCTGTTTCGAACCTAAATTTTAAAAAAAGTTTAACAAATTCATTCAAAATTCCCTTAAGGTATTTTTTTAACCTTTCCACCAATCCGGCAACCACGTTTTTTCCTTTCCTTCATCAATATCGTCATATTTGAAAAAATAATTAAACAATCAATTAAACCACTAAAAAGATAATTAAAAATGATCAATTTAATGTAGTAAATATTAAATATTAATCCGTTTATGTTTAGTGGTCTAATTGACCAAATTACTTATTTAAATTAATTATTCTTTTTATGTAAGATCTTGGTTGAGGTGAAAAAGCCAGGGTCACTAGCGGGACTAAAAATAATAATTAATTGAAATTATATATTAAATTGAAATGTAATATATTAAATATTAATTTAAAATTAAAAGGAGTACTTTTTCTGGCCTCTATTTTTGGAAATGGTGATTTAGAATCACCATAGTAGGTTTTTCAACTTTGAAAAAAAATTTCAAAGTTCTCGCTACTAAAACACTTATTTAACGAAGGTTTACAAGTTTAGTATTGATCACATCTTATTGGAAAAATTAACGCAGTTTTCAATGGTATCAATGGATTTGTACAAAACCTTTTAGTTTGGAGTTAAAAATTTTTACTTTAAGCAAGGTTGTGAAATCTTGAAAAATCAGAAAAAAGTAAAATAACTCCTAAACAGTTGAGATTCGGACCATAGTGAATTAGGACTTTTTGGTTCCATTTTGAATGTAGAATCTACTGGCAAAGTTGGAACACGAGTAGCCCCGGTAAAATCTAACATAAATAAATTCGACATATTATTCTTTGTTTATGAGCGGAACCGGGTCAATTAAAATCCAAGAGTTGATTAGCAAGGTTGTCAGCCGGTCGGCCGGTAAATTGTCTGACGTTTCAACGTCACCATCACCTCGGTGGATAATCGGTCCAAAGACCCTGAGACATCACCTGTCGGATAGATTAATTAAATATCCTGTAGGTATGGATGAGGGAGAATAAAAGAGCAAAAGAGCTTTTATGGGCCGTGGTTATCTTTGTGCTAGCCATTAATCACCGGTGACCCCGTTTCGACCCCTTGTTACAGGGAGAGGACAATTGAACCGTCCGCACCTGGGAATTTTTAATGGCCTGTTTTTTTTTTACAACCGTCGTAAACCTTTTATGGAAGCTTTGTCCCAAAATGAAGAGGTCACTCGAGAAAGTCTTAATCGGGCTTCTGATCGGAATTTCCATTCTGCTTTTTAGTAGGACAAATTGTAATAGCAAAAATCGTAAAGAATCGGACAAAAAACTACCCGTATTTTACTATCTTGCCTACTGTCATGAGAAATGACGCCGTATTCGAAGAACGGCAATCATCCTAGCGTTAATAATTGGACAGATAATTCAATCAAATCAAAAGGCGAAGAGACGTCAATCTTGCGAAGGTGAAGACGACAAATTGGCAATTTGCGACAAACCCGTTCCACAATCGTGGACTGATCACAGCCCGATTCGAAATTGTCGAGGAAACGAGCCGTGCTTTTGGCGTCCTACCAAGTGCCACGTGTCCATGGGGTGAGTCACGTGTTTATTTCTGTTTGTAAAAAAGGAGTTGAGGTGTCTTACCGTATCGGATGTCTTTGTCGTTGGGTATGTTGCCGTTGGGCTCGAGCCTGTCCAGGAACTCGTCCGAGTAGCCGTTGAAAGGGAGTTTGCCGGGTTTCGTCTTCGACTCGTCAGGCTCATCCTTGGATATGGCTGAAACAGGGAAAAATGAAAAATATAGTCAAATCAAGTGAAATCAGAATGACCTGCCGGTCATGTCAATAAAATGATTGATTAAATATCGATGATTCTGCGCAAGTATCAATAGTGGATGTCTTGTTTCTTGAAAATCGGGAGAGATAGTGATCGAGCACGTAAAAAATAACGTTTTTTGCCCAAAAATCGCGAATAACTAGAAACCGGTCGAGAAATCGGGCAAACTGTAAGATGAAATTGAAAGCTTATTAAAAGTTCCTAACGACTGCTACTGGACGTCGCATCAGGACGATTTCCTGGCTCCACAGCTCAATTGAAAGTTTTCGTAAAAAGTGCATAATTTTTGAATTTACTGATGAATGACTGAAGGTAGGAAAAGATTTACAAAGCCGACTTGTTCAGCGTAAAATTGTCTAAAAATGAGACCCAGCGCAGGTCTGAGACTTAAAAGGCTGAGAGTGCATTTCCAAAGTTGACCATTTTTTCCTGCAAAAACTAGGTGGTCGGGCTAGGGCAGTGTATTTCGAGAAAAAGAGAGAAAAAGGCCTAACACTGCTTTATTTCTTCAAAATTGCCGTTTAGCTTTTGTGAAGTGTGTAGTTTAGAATAGAAACTATTTAGGTACGGAGGTATAAATTGTATATTAATGTACACATTTTTAATTAATCGTATAATAAATTGTGATTGGTGTAATAAAGTGATTTATGCTTTGTGGAAATCTACAAAAATAGCAAACAACTTGAGGCACTTTCAACACGACAGACAAGGTGACACATCTACACGGAAAACACTTTGAGCCCTGAAGATGATCTCAATAAAGATCGAAACGTCGGCACGATAAAGAAAATGTTTTTCTGAAACCTACATCACACCAGACCGCGTCACACGATTTCTGAATAATCATGTAATTAGGGGTGAAAAAGGGAGGTGATAAATTTTACGGATAAAATAGCGTTGTAGGGATTTAATTGTTTCATATCGCTGGAAACCCCAACACTGGGAATCGAGCGGCAAACAGCCAAAAACAGCATGTATTTACTGCAAACCGGGACGAGAGTATTCGAAATGAATTTAGCCCAAATAGATTTCATCGCATATTTCGCAATGTGAGTCTTTCGCTTGAGATAAACATTGGATGAAACTTTCAATTACTTATTCTTTTTACGTAAGGCCTTGGTTGAGAGAAAAAAAGCGTCACGAGCGGGATTCGAACCCACGACCTTCAGCTCAATACACCGCTGCGCTACCACTTCAGCTATCGTGACTTCGATCCTCTCCGCCACCACCTCTTCATCACAACCTGCAACCGTTCGAATTTTCCCTCCTAGTAATGAACTGAAAGAAGTAACTTGGCCAATTGACCACTAAAACGTAAATGGATTGAATGAAAGTTTAGGAGTGAGAATTAAGCCCAAATATTTATACTCACTTACTATTTCAATGGGAGACCCTTTAGAATACCAACGTTTATTAGCCGCAAGCCCTGCCTTCCCTACGAAAAACCATAATTTTGGATTTGTTTATGACCGAAAGATTCCATTCCACAGTAAGTCCTCTAAGGCATTAATATTTTTCTGCAGGGTAACCGGTGAGTATCAGAATTACAAAATCGTCCGTGTATAAAAGAATCTTTATATCAATATTTCCATAACATATACCGTATTCAAGACAATCAAGGAGATCGTCGAGAAAAAGAGAGAACAATAAAGGACTCAAGTTACATCCCTGTCTAACCCCTGAGCGCACCTCAAAATATCTCGAGATCCCCCCTCCACAACAACTGATAGCAAGTGTAAAGGGTTTTATTATTGAATGAATTTTTATTGAAAACCATTACGCCGTGATATAATTTAGTTCGCTTAAATGATAAAACATTCACCACATCCTGAAGCATGTTGAGCCTTAGGATTATTAAATTTGAATACCTTTCACGAACATAATCGGCCTAAGTACCATCAATCAATGGCATCGCTTTTAGAAGCACCTGCTGAGTTTAAGTATAAGCGCGCTCCTATTCACCGCCAAAGGCGGCCTTAAGACCTACTAAAAAGCCATAGACTTTCTTAGTTTTGTTTAAGTGTAGATTAATAATGTTGGTTAACGTGAAGATATTTTCTATTGATGAATAAGCTTTCCTCAACCCGCCCTCGAACAAACTTAAGAGTCTCGTGACAAACTTCTCGACGCGTTGAACAATATGGTTTGAAAAATTTTTAGCAGATGCATTGAAACAAGAAAGACCTCGGAAGTTGTTGACATCATTAAGGTCCCCCTGTCTGTGTAAATGATTTGGGACTTCACCATTGTTAAATATAAAATTGTAAAAACGTAATAATAATTCAAGAAAACAATCAATTGCACATTTATAAAACTCGTAGCTAATGCCATCAGCACTCCGAGCTTTATTATTTTTTAAACCAGATAAAACATTTCTTCGTTCCTTTAATGTAAAAGATTCATCTAAAATGGAGTCAAATAGAGTAGGTTCAGAAATATGTGTAGAAGCGATCAAGGAAGGATTAATTTTTTTTTTGAAAAATGGGGTACCCAGGAACACATCGATATATCGCTGCTTTTGGAAGGAGACTTATATTTAATGGGTTTCGTCCACTTCCAGTATTCTCTGGCGTCCTTAACTTTCTCAAAACTTTCAATTAATTACTCAATTATTTAACTCTCCATCTCAACTTACAACCGTTCGAATTATCACTCTTTTTGCACATTTCCAAAGTTCAAGAGTTGGTGTCCGAGAGGATCGAAATCACGATAGTTCAAGTGGTAGAGTAGCGGCGTAATTAGCCGAAGGTCGTGGGTTCGAATCCCGCTCGTGACACTGACTTTTTTTTTAAATCTCAACCAAGACCTTACATAGAGAGAAAGAAGTAACTTGATCAATTGACCGCTAAAACGTAAATGGATTCTCAAAACTGTTTACCATTTCTGTTTAGATTTTTTTTTCAAAGCAGAGAGCTTCAAATTTCCGATTGGAGTCTAGATAATCCTTTTTAACCATATCAGAATTAGTTTTTAATTTTAACAATTTAAGTAGAGAGAACTGTGCGGTGTGTAATGACCGTTAATTTATTTTTATTTAAAGATCGTGAGATGCGGGCTGGTGTGACGTAGGCTGAACAGTTTCTTTATCGTGCCAACGTTTCGACCTTTATTGAGATCGTCTTCAGAGCCAGGGATTTATAAGCATTGTTTAAATTATAGAAACACATGTATGATGTGAAAAAAAGAATTTATACAATAATAGAAATTTTAATTCAATAAATTTGTACTCACTCAAAGAATTGCTGCTTTACGTTTATATACGTTGGATTTTTAAAGGGTGGGGAAAAAATACGGATAGAAATCCATTTTTGTATAAAGCGGCCCATAGACGATCAATATTATTGCACAATATTTTGGGTTGTGCAATTTAATTGATCGTGTGTAGACGATATTGAAAGTTTATGAAATACATTGCATGATTAACGAAATGTTGAAAATATATTGTACAACCTGGAAATTATTGCACCGTCTGTTGGCATTATTGCGCAATATCAGTCAGTTTGTGAAGTATCAAGAAGTGGTACAAACTATTCAAGTTCATTACACACACAAAATTTTGTACAATATTATTGAACGTTAAGGGGCAACCGTCAAATTATTGTGCAATCTATATTGTACAATAATATTGACCGTCTATGAGCCGTTTAAGACGATCAATATTATTGCACAATATTTTGGGTTGTGCAATTTAATTGATCGTGTTTAGACGATATTGAAAGTTTGTGCAATACATTGCATGATTGACGAAAAGTTGAAAATATATTGTACAACCTGGAAAATATTGCACCGTCTGTTGGCATTATTGCGCAATATCAGTCAGTTTGTGAAGTATGAACAAGTGGTACAGTTCGCATGCTCGTGGTTGCACAAAATATTGCACAAACTTCAATATCGCCTTCAAACAAAATTTTGAACAATATTATTGAACGTTAAGGGGCAATCGTCAAATTATTGTGCAAACTATTTTGTACAATAATATTGACCGTCTATGGCCGCTTAAGGAGTCGGCTTCTTTGAGGTGAAAGGGACCGACAATGAGAAAAACGTGAAATGATTCGACCTGATTATCCTTTCAGCATTATATAGACGGGGATAATTAGGAAAAGGAAGGACAAAGTGTTGAAGAATTAGACTATGTAGAAATGTTTGATGTGTGGATTGTAATGATTGTTTATATGTTGTATTATATGTTTATATGTATGTTATTGATATTGAATTTGATTAATGATATTAGCGTAGCTGCGACTGAGTTTACATGTGTCTGTTCTCTAACTGATGCGGTGGTTATCTCTGTTGATGGAAACCATTTCTAAAAAGTTACGTTTATGTAACGTTTGTTCTGTGTTTAATATTTTTGTATCGTTGAAATCGAAATTGTGTTGGTGTTCACAATTTTGGGTACCCAGTGCGGTAAGATTTTATTTGGGTTATTTGCAATCATAGCTATGTTGCTTTACTCTCTTTACACAATCCAGATATTGGGATATATTGGGATGTAAGACCGATGTATGTTGTCGCACAATTTATTTGTTACAGGTGTGGGATCTTTAATTTTGGAGAAAAGAGTGTGAATGAAGGCTATTTTAAAGTTATCGGAAGAAAGAAATGTGTTTAATTTATGTGATAGACCGTGATTGAATGGAATGGGTGTGTTAGTTTGTCTGTGTTTGATAAAATTGATGTAGTGTTATTAGTGATAGTAGATTTCTTCTTTATCGCCGTTTCCTTTTTCTTGTCTTGAAAGGTCTTATTACAACAAAAACACATTTCAATAAAAATATCAGCTGTAAGACCAAGACTATATGAACAATCCTAACGCCGTGGTTTTTCTCTTTGGTTCTTTTGTTAATTTAAGAAGATTATGTGTTATATGATTAATTATAATTATTGAAAGAATTGTATGCAATAGCTCAATTTGCGTTTTTTTCGCACCAACACAC